GTGGTGCTGGAGCGGCCAGATCGGCTTCTCGCGCGACATCCTGTACGTCACGTGCATCGACGATCTGCAGATCCACCGATTCCGTTGGGAAGGTCCCGATCGCAGCCTCCTCAACTTCACCATCCTCAGCAGCATACCCACTCTTCGGCCGACCTACGGCCTCAAGTACTCCAATGTACCTCCCCCTTTTTTCATGAATTGATTGTTGTTTTTTATTTCCGTCTTCTTTGTTATTTATTCTCCGTTTTTCTGTTGGTCGCGGAAACGCAGAAAACGGACAACACTTCAGCGTTGCTGGTATCGACGCCGTCCGCGAACACTGTCTACCTCCTCAATACCTCCTCGCCGACAGCAGCCACAGGTACGCACCTTCTCCTTCAACGATTCTGATGGAGCACTCACCGTGTGGGTCCGGGCAGAGCTACAACCGTTCGTGCAGCAACCTGAGCCTGTGGTGTCGTACTCGGGAATCGAAACGAGGTTTGACACTCTATACGTGATCGACGGCACCAACTCCTTCGTGCGCTACTTCAGTATGAGCGATCCCAACATATCAGGCGTACGTCTGCTCTCTCCTCGCACAACTCCGGCTTTTCTCGGATTACCCTGCTCATCAAGCAAGCGTTCTTGCTGTCGTGATATAACCAGATCTTTATCGACTTCTCGGTCGAGGCCAACAACACGCTGGTTTATCAACTCAGCGACTTCGTCGACCTCGAGTTTGGCAATTACAATGCCACCACCGGGCAACCGAGCAACCTGTTCATCACCTCTCAGCGAAGCGATCGAGTGCGTCTTCCTAGATCTGAGATACGGTGGAGTGTCTCCTCTTCGTCGTTGCTCTTTTGTTGACGCCTTCGGTTGTCTGCGTGCACAACAGATCGAACTATTCGACGCTGACGGGAAATACCTGGGTCCGTTCCTGGTCGGCAAGGAGGACGGCACCACCATCTCCGAGCCTCAAAACCTGTTCTTCCACTCCTGCCCAGTGCTATCCTACCCCCAGATGAACAGTAATTTACCCCATCCTCGCATCATCACATTCTGTCGAATTGCCCTAGTACGCTGTGCTGACCTTCGCTGACTGATCTTCTTCTTAAAGGCCAGAATGCGGGCAAATCGGAGGGCTTCAATATTGATCTCCTGCTGGGGCTTCTCGTTCCTCTCGTGGCTATCCTAATCCTACTGGTGTTTGTGGTACGGACACGCACCCTCGCGCCAATGCTATAATCTGATGTTCGCTGACGAGGTGTGTTCTTTGCGTGCCATAGTTTCCGCTGGCCCTGTTCTTTATCTACTCGTACCGGAACCGGCGGCGCACCTTCGACCCGATGGACGAAGAGGAGATGGGCGGAACGCAGCCCGATAAGGAGCGCAGGAAGTACGTCTACCGCGAAATCGAGCCGACCGACCTCACCCTCGGCGATATCCTCGGCGTGGGAGCTTTCGGCAAGGTCTACCAGGGCTGTTGGCGAGGCGGACCAGTTGCGGTGAAGGTGTTCGACACCGTCAAGCTGTCCGAAGCCAACGACGACGTGATCGACGAAATCAGGAAGGAGGCCGAGATGATGGAGAAGCTCGGTATGAACCCCTCCGCCCTTGCTGTTTTACAAACAGCATCCAAATCTGAACGAGTTGGAATGCGTGCAGGCAACCATCCGTCAGTGATCAGCTTTGTCGGCGCGATCACTCGCCCCTCCGAACACTTCAACGGCGTCGCGCTTGTCACCGAATACTGCTCTCGCGGGTACACATCTCGCTCATGGCGTTTCCTGAAGTCGCCGGCGTCTTACTGAGTGTTGCGATCTTGGTCAGGTCCCTGTTCGAACTGCTGGTCAAGGGAAGGGCACGGGTGCCTCCCGCATTGCTGGTCCGCATGGCACGCGATGCTGCCGCAGGAATACGCCACCTCCACAGGTACCGTGCACCAGGATCCAAGCAAATACAATCCTAAAGGCCACTTGTATTGATCTTATGCTGCGTGCACAGGGAACGGATCATACATAGAGATATCGCAGCTCGCAACGTACTCGTTAGCGAAAACTACAGTACGCTTTGTGCTCTCACACTCGCACACGCTCTCTAGGCATGATGTTTGTGTTGATTGTCTGACGTTGGGTGCGAACTGCTCTTCAGATGCGTTTATTGCAGACTTCGGTCTGGCGCGCGTGCTCAAGGGTGACACGGACACAACGAACAGCAACTTCGGCCCCGTGCGGGTAAGCGACCATTCACCCCCAATGACTCGTGGTAGTTATCGGCTCACCTTCTTTTGCTACAGTGGATGGCGCCAGAGGCGATGGTCCGTCGCGAGTATAGCGAAGCCTCAGACGCCTTTTCTTTTGGCGTACTCCTCTGGTAACCATACAAGACCACACACACACACGCACGCACGCACGCAAACGCGCGCGCGCCCAGTGGACTAATAGAATGACCCTTCGACACGCAGGGAAATGGTGACACGCAAGGTGCCGTGGCGTGGTGTCGATTCCTCGCAGATCATCATCGCGGTGGCCCAGAAGAACACGCGCCTGAAGATCCCCAAGGGCTGCGACCCCATCCTGCGCAAGATCATGAAGGGCGTGTGGAAGGAGAACCCCAGGCAGCGCATGACGATGGCCCAGGTGCTGCAGACCCTCACCGACTACTACAGCATCCTCGCCCAGTACGAGGTGGAGAGCGACTGCGATGCCGCCACCGACTCGGAGAGCGAGAGCGTCTGGGGCACCAGCGGCGAGAGACAGGCGCGCTCGCGCAGCGCCGGCGACCCGGCGGACGGCTGCGGCAAGGACGAGAAATGCAACAGTGACGAGGGAGGAGCGCGAGTGGCCGCCACCGACTCGGCGGTGGCCCTCGTCCCGCGATTGCGCCCGGCTCAGCTCGTGCAGCGTCGGGTGGGTGCCGCGGGCTCCGACGCGTTCCACATCTGCTCGCCGCTCTCGCCGCGACGACACCGACGACACCACCGACCACGCGAGGCCGAAGCCAGGGAGCTGCGCGCTGAGGTGCGATCGGACTCGTGGGAGGTCTACACCTGCTCCCTGCCACCACTCCCGTCATCAGCCTCGCCACCGCAAGCACTCGATCCGATCGGCACCGCAGCCTACGAGAAAGAAGACGAAGACGAAGACGACAACGACGACGAGCAGAAGACCGAGAGCGACAGCGAATACGAAAACGAAAACGAAGCGGAGCGGGAAAGGCAGACAGAGACGGAGACGGAGGACGAGGTGTGTCGAGAGAGTAGCGGCGATACGCAGCTGTCCCCGATCACGCCACGATTTGCGCTCGACGAGAGCGTTGAGGTGTACACGTCGCTCACGGTGCCGGCCACGAAGCGCCGACGGTGCACCGTCAGCGACGGGTTTCTGGAGCAGCAGCCCGAGCAGTGACGACACTCGAACCCTCCCAACCATCATCATCACCATGACCATAGAGCAGCGTCAAGGCTTGGCGCCTCAGAGACGCAGACTTGTGTAGCGACGTGATGGTGGCCTCACATGTACGGTATACCCTTATTTATTTATTGTAATACACATTACTTCCACAGCCACACACGCAACAAAGGGACGATGGCGGTTGGTCGGGGGTGACGTGGCATTCCTGGCCGCGGGAGTTACCACGGCCTTTTCGAGTTCATCCAGGCGGACTGTGCACGAGCTGCCTCGGCTGTCAAGGCCCGGTCACCGGTGCCGTGTGGGGCTGTGGCACGAGACAGACTCGCAAACAGCACACCTTCTACACTACTTGCAGACCCAGCTCGCGACATGGCGAGCACAACCGACGCAGCCACTTGTCCTCTCTTCTCTGCCGACGCCACGGTAACTCTTTTGCATCTTACGAACTCTGGCTCGTTCGCTCGCTGAGACCGGTCTCTCAGGTCGCGGATGTGGTGAAGGCCTTGGAGCGTTCGCCTCCGGTGGTCATACCCTGTGGGGCCTCGATATCAGACGCATGGAAGGCAAGTAACCCGCAAACCAAAACAACGAAGCGACAAAGAATGAAAGCGACCGTCGCAAAGGTTCACCCTTTCGTTCTTCTCCTCGTTCGCAGGTTCTTGCGCACACCAAGGTGCTGTCGGCGCCGCTCGAGAAGGAGGGCGGAGGCTACCACGGCATGATTGACATGTACGCATCCCCCCCCCCATTAATAGGCGTGACCCCACACGTTCACATCTGTACGCCGCACAGGTTCGACGTGGTGAGCTTCCTTATCAGGCAATGCGTGGATCCCTCACACAAGGAAGAAGAAGAGAAGTACGGGCGCCACGTCACCTGGCGCGGCTGGTGCTGCGACGTGTCGCAGTTGGCCACGCACGGCGGGGATCTCATCAGCTCCATCCCCGCCCTCTCCATCGTCAGTACGTCGCTCAAACACAGGTTATAAAAACGCGGTGGTCGGAGCTAAAAAAAAGGTGTTGGTTTCATTGCAGACCACTCCGGGCTGAATCCCTTCGTGACGATGGGGAGGGACCACCATGTCAGCGAGCTCCTGGCTACACTGAAGCGAGGTATGCGCCCTGACCTGCGCGCTAACTCCGATTCGTTGGTTACCCACGGCTCTGTCGCACGGTGGGGCGTTGCAGGCGTCCATCGGGTGATCGTGATGGACGATGGTGGCAAAGTCGAGTGCCTCGTTTCGCAGTCGGACGTCTTGTGTCTGCTCGAGGAGTGCATCAAGTCCGCCTACCCTCATCTGGCCGAGAAGGTGCAGCTCGCCTTGATCGTCTCGTTCCATTGCTGCCGCGCTCACTCAATTGCAGACTGTCGCGGAGCTGGGCTTGAACGCTAGGCCGAAGCCGTCGCTCTTCACCGTGAATGTCATGGCTCGCACCTTCTACGCCTTTCACCAAGTACCGCACACCACACACACACACACCACGTTTTTGAGTACTCAACACTGCTCGGTGGTGCGACTCAGATGCTGGACCACAAGGTCTCAGGCGTGGCGGTGGTGGACGACGCCGGCGTCCTCGAGGGCAACATCTCGGTGAGCGACCTCCGAGGCTTGGCGGCCACCGATCTCGGGTCTCTCCTGCTGCCCGTCAGCCGCTTCCTCAAGGAGAGGGTCAAGCAAGAGGTGCCCGTCATGTGCTCGGCCAAGACCACATTCGGCACCGTCCTACACAGACTTGTCCACCACGGCCTACACCGCCTTTGGTGCACGGTAAGCCCAACTCTTTCTCTCTGTGTGTGGTGCGTGTTGACAAGCTGTGTGGGTTGGTCCGTGGTTGTGCAGGATGTCATGCAACGGCCCATCTCGGTCGTGTCGCTCACCGACGTGCTGAGGATCGTCGACCAGCGCGCCCTGCACCTCCAGGAGAAGCACCTCCAGGCCGCCGAAGCCGCCCTCACGTGAGGGACCTGTACCCAGCGCCATCAGTGTTTCTTTTAATTTTATTTGCAGAAATAGTTCGAAGAAGAGGGTGGGGGCTACAAAAGCACGTCGGCGAGATGACAAAACGTTCCAGTCTCGCAGAGGAGGGAGAACTCGGGCAAGCTCGGGCAAGAAGGCGATAGATTGGAAGAGAGATGCAGACGTTCCTGCCATTCCTGCTGGTTTGGGATGAATCAAAGACGGTTCTAGAGAATCTTCAGGCCTGCTTTCGGCTTACGGCCCAGCTGCTCGATAACAAGCGCACGGGCAAGCAGCGCGTAGAGGCCATGCAGCTGCTCAACATCCTTCTCGGACGCAACGCAGACTCCTCCTGGAAGCGGTACCGTGTCATTTTTGATGAGGAAAAGCACTGCATTCATCAATTGATGATTCTTTGAGATTGTCGAGTAGTGGTCGATTAACTGGTCTCTGGCCACAGCCACCCTGTGCTGCATATGTGGAAGCCGTGGACAGAGGCGCTCAAGCTGTACTACAACTGCTTCCTCGAGGAGTGGATGGCGCGCGGCTTCGTGAACAACCTCCCGCTCGAGGACATCGACGAGGAGGCGCTGGCCGAGCAGGGCATCCCACCCTTCCTCTCCAACAAGCACTTTGTCGATCGCCACCGTGCCAACCTCATGACAAAGCATCCCGACTTCTATGAGGCACGTGCGTGTGCGTGTGCGTGTGCGTGTGCGTGTGCGTGTGCGTGTGCGTGTGCGTGTGCGTAGAACCATCAGCTAAGCACTGTTGCTTGTGCGGTACAGAAGTACGAGTGGGGTGTGGAGCCCAGGCAGGGCTACTACTGGTACCTCGACGGCGTCTACATTCTGACCAAATACGGCAAGCGGTACCACCACCGCTCCTCCTTCCGTGGATCGATCCACTGTGTGTGCTGTGTGTGTTGTGTGTGCTGTGTGTGCTCACCTCGCGTTCGACGATGCTTCGGCGGTGCACAGGTATGAGTCGGATCTGTCCGGTGATCAGGCACCACCGGAGCCAGAACCACCGGTGAGGAAGCGAAAGCCGCGGGTCAAGAAGGAGGTGAAAGAGGAGGAGGAGGAAGAGGAAGACGAGGAGGCGGCGCGATCCAAGAAGAAGCGGAAGAAGGACAACAAGACAAAGGTCAAGAAGGAAGAGGCGCTCAAAGAGGAGGAGAAGGAGGAAAGAGGAAACGGCGATGATGACGACTTCATGCCGCCCAAGAAGCCGAAGAGGAGACGGGAGGTGAAGGTCAAGGTGGAGAAAAACGAAGAGGACGAAGAAGATGTTGACAACAACGTCTCAGAGAAGGGCAAGGAACGAGATGACGATGATGATGGAGAAGAACAACAATCGATCAAGACAGAGGAGGAGGAGGAGGAAGAGCCCAAGCTGCGGCGAAGGGCCAAACGAAAGCCGAACGTGAGCGAGCTGGTGGCTTCGTTTGCCTTCCCGGCCACCACCAGCACCAGCACCTCGCGGCGAGTGGCCAAGCGAACAAAGCGAGGCGATGCGACGCTACTGTCTGCTGATCAGATCGCCGCCCTCGACTGAAGATACCATCATCTTCTCCTTCTCCTCCTTGTGCACACGCAAGGCTCCTCGTCACCAGGATACCTCCCCAGGCGACCGAGATAAATCCAGAACTAAATAAATAGTTCCGGGATAAAAGGCGGATAAATGGAGGAAATAAGTGGGCGACGAAGCCAAATTGCCGGAGCCAAGGAGGGAGACGGGCGGAACACAAGGCACCGAGAGGGACCGTTGAGCGATTTTTTGTTCTCGCACGCGCCCGCAACCACCACGTAAGAAGAGAAGACACCAGCTTCCTTCCATCCACACATCAACTTTAGGCCGAGTACCAGAACTCCGAGTAGAACAAGATGTGCAAGTGTCCCGGTGTGCAGAGACATCCCAAGATTTCGATCTGTTGGTACGACAAGCCGTTCCACACGTACCACTGCTTCATCAGCGGAGGCATCTACTGCTGCTGCCCCAATGAAGAGACCGACAAGGTACCACCACCAACCGTGCCTCGCCCCCTTCGTTCTTTTTTCGTTTCTTTTTTTATTGCCCCCCCCGCGGTCCTGTGCGACCTCGTCTCCTCCGTTTCATTCTCCGTCGATCTTGACCTATTCTATTATTCTATTATTCTAAATATCAATTGCTGTTGTGATTATACTCCCCTTTGTCATCTGATTTCTGAGATGGAATTTGTAATCGAGGATGAAATTTTCTCTACAAAATTCAATCTCATATCTGTGCATCATTATCGTGTAATAGGCCTGGCTGGACGTGCTGTGGTGGCTGGCTTGCATCCTGACCAGCCCCATGGCCCTGATGTTGGCGCTCCTCTTCGGCTTCGTCGGTTTCATCATCGATCTCGTGACCCTCGTCTGCTGGGCCGTGTCCGGCGGCTTCCTCGGCCGCAAGTGCTGCACCCCCGACAACTGCCGCACCTACTGCGAGTGCCGGGAGGAGGAGCCCGGTGCCCTCACCCGCTGCGACGAGTACTGGTGCTGCATCGCCGTGTAATTCTATCTACCAACCACCACTGTCAACCATCAACAAACAAACAAGCATCACAAGAAGAAGAAGGAGCGATGACGAAGCTGCAGCGGCTCTCAAAAGAGAGATAGAAGAGGGCGAAGGGGAATGACGAATCGGCCAAGAAGAGGAAGAAGACGTGAGCTGCGAAGAACGCACACATAAGAAGAACATCACACATGTGACAACAATAAAGAAGGTGGTGAAGGACCTTGTACTGTTACACACAACCACTCCACGCAGCGCTGCGGCTCCAAGGAGGAAACAAGGAAGTGTCACACTTGAGGATGGGGCCTCAGACGGAAATGTCATCGTCTTGGCGTGGGCTCTGTGCGAGACCGCGCGATTGGCCGACGCCTTTACGCACAGAGCTCTGTGTGGGCGCTCAAACCAGGCGCTGACTTGATTGGCCAGTGGCGACTACAAAAAGCCACCGACCGCCACTCCACTTCATCAACCAACTGCTCTCTCGCTCCTCTCAACCTCCACCAGCTAGCCCTCCACCAGCTAGCCCTCCACCAGCTTCTTGACATCCATCCATGAAGCTGCTCTTCGTCGTGGCCCTCTGCTTGGCCGTGTTCGCCGCCTGTGCGCTGGCTGACGATGACTACGACCGGGACTACAACAAGGACAACAAGGGACCGTGCAAGGGCGGGTACTGGCCCGACGGCAAGGGCTGCTGCCCGAAGGTAATCAAGGGCAAGGCCTACTACCGCGACCACAACAAGTGCTATCCGCGCGACCTGGACTGCGGCGTGTTCTACGCCGACGAGGAGAGGTAGAGGCAACCTCTCGTGTGATTGGTTGGTTTTAATGTGTGAGTGTGGCTGATTGGCTGGGTGTTGGCGGCGACAGGTGCTACCCCGACGAGAAGGGACAGTACCTGAAGAACGACGAGTGGTGCCCCAAGGACCGCAAGTGCCACGAGCGCTGCATTCGTCCCGACTACGACCACAAGACCACGTCGACCACGGAGGAGTGCCCCAATGAGACCACCTCGACCAGGAAGCGCCACACCACTTCCACCACCGAGGAGTGCCCCAAGGAGACCACCTCGACCCGTAGGGAGACTACCTCGACCAGGAAGCACCGCACCACTTCGACCACCGAGGAGTGCCCCAAGGAGACCACCTCGACCAAGCGCCACACCACTTCGACCACCGAAGAGTGCCCCAAGGAGACCACCTCCACCCGCAAGCACCGCACCACGTCGACCACCGAGGAGTGCCCCAAGGAGACCACCTCGACCAAGCGCCACACTACTTCTACCACCGAGGAGTGCCCTAGGGAGACCACCTCGACCAGGAAGCACCGCACCACTTCGACCACCGAAGAGTGCCCCAAGGAGACCACCTCTACCAAGCGCCACACCACTTCGACCACCGAGGAGTGCCCTAGGGAGACCACCTCGACCAGGAAGCACCGCACCACGTCGACCACCGAGGAGTGCCCCAAGGAGACCACCTCTACCAAGAAGCACCGCACCACCAGCGAGAAGCCGTGCGACAAGAAGAAACAGTGCCCCGGCGGCCAGTGGAGTGATGACGACGGCTGCTGCCCGCGCAAGATCGGCCACCAGTGGTACTACCGCGACGCCCACGGCTGCTACCCGGTCGAGCGCGACTGCGGCGGCGTGTACTACGCCGACGGCAAGGGCTACTACCCGGACGAGCACGGCAAGTACGCCCAGGCCGGCGAGTACTGCCCCGACAACCGCAAGTGCAAGCCCGAGTGCGATGACGGCCACGGCCACTACTGAGTAGTAGTCATCGAGAGGCTTCGATCGAAATCGAACAGCCAATCGCATGCACGTCTTTTAAAAATAAAGTATGTTTGATAAAATTGAACGAATGGGAGGAGGACTCTCAATAGAAGACAGACCGGGTCTTGTGGATGGGGATGTGCTTCATCGCATGCCCGTGCTCCTTGGCGAACGTCCACAGGTAGAAGTCGATCACGATCGCGTTGAGCGGTGCCCCGCCCTCGCCCTCCTCCTTCTCCTCGCGCAGTTTCGCCATCTCTCGACGTACCAACTGGCAGTGTGTCGTGTGTCATGTGTCATGTGTCGTGTGTCGTGTGTCGTGTGTCGTGTGTCGTGTGTCGTGTGTCGTGTGTCGTGTGTCGTGTGTCGTGTGTCGTGTGTCGTGTGTCGTGTCGGTTAGCCTTGAACGTTGTTAGGAAAAATTGGAGTAGTGTGCTGCAGCGTACCTCAACGCCCCAAATGGAAGCGGCCCTGATCTCCACCTCGAGACGGTCGCCGGAGGGGAGGTGCGGGTCCTCCCGCAGCCGCTTCAGCAGCGCTTCCGAGTACTCCAGCACGCCCAGGTGGACCAGGCCCTGCACACGCACACGCACACGCAGCCTAATCAGAACAGACCATCGGCCTCATAGTGGGTGGACTTGAAACTGACCTGGGGCACGCGGTAGTCGGCGAACATGGTGATCGAGTCGATGTCAGCAAAGGCGCCGTAGCTCCGCCCTCGGAACGCGGCCCACAGGTCCGCCACCAAAATTTGCGCACGCTTGTACAACTTCACTGTTTTGATTGAGCGCGTGTAGATTGTGTGTCGTGCGTGGTGTCGTGCGTGGTGTCGTGTGTGTGTGTGTCGTGCGTGGTGTCGTGTGTGTTGTGTGTGTGTGTGTGTGTGTGTGTGTGTGTGTCACGGAACGCAAGACGTAAGCGAAGAGAGGGGGCTGCTGATCTGGGGGGAGCCCGCGCACCGCTCTGGCCGTCGTAGGTGGCATGGTCGTTGTACGACGAAAAATTGGAGACGACCAGATTGAGCAGCGTCTGCGCGCTCTGGTTGGCCTCCGCGATCGCGTTCACGAAGCTGCCGCCTAGTCGCCTCCCCCCCCCAAACGCTGTGAGCCTGCGCCCATTGCACCACAGCACACGGCGCAGAGCACTTCACGGCGAGGTACCGAATCGCTCGAGCAGCACGCGGCCTGCCTCGCGCAGTACTTCGAGTCGCTTCTCGAACAGCGGGATCTGCTCCGTCGTCGCTGATCTAAAGACGTGCTGCAGCTGCTCGGGCGTGATGTTCGCCATGTACCTCGCGTCTGTGATTGGAATTCCTTCCTGCACGCACACACCACACACGCACACGCACCACCGCACACGCACACCGACATGACGCTTGAGCCGGTGGAGCACGGTGCGCGGGTGGAGTGTTGAGGGCGACGTGCATCGAGGGCGCGGTTGATGGCGGCGCAGAGCGACCAGTAGCCGTTGTGCAGCTTGCCGTTGTAGTCCACCGTGAAGAGCTCCTCGCTGTCCGACCAGAAGGCAAAGTTGAGCGTGTCCACCACGAAGATCCTGCACGTTACATGGGTGTGTGTGTGTGTGTGTGTCGTGTGTGTGCCGCGCGAGTGCATGTGTGGGTGTTGTGGTGAGCCGAACTACGTAGGGCATTACTATGGGGAGAATGGATGTACCATGCCACGGTGTGTACGGTCTCCTCCTTGGGGTTGAGTTCGGGCTGCTTCCACTGATCGAGCGAAAAGTCGCCCTTCTCTCGTGCTTCGTACAGCTATGGGTCGTCCCAGGCCATGGATGTTAATGAAATTAAATCATTGAAAATAAATCAAATCGGCGAAAGATGAGAAAAGCGAACCGAAATTGCGGCACTGCGGACACCGGCCTCCGAGATCGAGACATCGGTGGCTCGACCGGCCACCCACGCACTGGTCCTCAGCACCTCTGAGCCTCGGTAGTCCTCCCCACCCGCCGCGTCCATAGTGTTTTCTCCTTGAATTTCTTAATGTTTTCATTTTAGATTATTTAAATATTTTAGTTTGTTGTTTCCGTTGATTGTGGAGCAATCACACATCGAGAAGGGTCGAAGCGGACGGTGCCTACATAACGGTCAGCTCTTTTCCTGATCTGAGCGAGATTGAGAGTCGTCATCTATTTTGGACACTTCATTCTTTCCCGATCCTCGATGGAGACGACGCAATCACCGCCATCATCGTCAGTACCGTTCAATGACGTTGTGGCCGACAAGATGGACGGCGATGGAACTGCGAATGGACGCGAAATGGCCAACGGGGGCACGCCCACATTGACCAATAATGGCATTGGTGAAAATGCAAATGGAGGCGAGAATGAGACCAACAAGGTCGATGAAGACCAAGCAGAAGAGGAAGAGGAGGAACAGGTCAAGCACGTTCGCGAGCTCGTGCGCCGCAAGCGACGACGTGCGCGTGCGCGGCTGAGCGGCCCCGCCTGGGAGGCCGGCGTCAAGGGCGCCGCCGACTGGAACGCCAACGTCCTACGCGACCGCTACCTCCGCGGCCCCTGGTACTGGGACCCCAACTCGCGCTCCCCTCAGGTACCTCGTGTCGTGTCGTGTCATTGCGTGTGTCGTGTGTCGTTTCGTGTGTCGTTGCGTGTGTCGTGTGCGCACTCAGCTCACACAAAGCGTTGTGCAGTTGTTCAGAGAGTGGAACCTGGCGGGCACGCCGGCCATGCTGCAGCTGGACGCGCTGGCCAAGTACCTCCTCCCGCTCACGCCCGAGCAGCAGTCGGCCCTGCTCGCCGCCTACACCGCCGCCGCCGCCGCCGGGCCGACCACCCCGCTCAGCGCCAACCCCACCACCCTGCCCCTGCCCATCCAACCTACCTCCTCTGCCCTATCATCCGGTGCGTGTCGTGTCATGCCGTGCCGTGCGTGTCGTGTGATGCTCATGCGCGTGTCGTGTCGTGTCGTGTCGTGAAGATGCGAGCTCGGGCCGGAAGCAGCGAGGCAAGCGGGCGCGGCCGAAGGGTCCGCACTGTCGCATGTGCCTCAAGGAGGAGTCGGCCGAGGGCGCACTGATCCGGTGCACCGAGTGCAAGGACCAGTACCACCCGGACTGCCTCGAGCTCAAGAAGGAGAACATACCCAAGATGATGTCCTTCGGCTGGCGCTGCATGCACTGCAAGAAGTGCGAGACCTGCAAGGACACCGGCGACGAGGAGAAGGCGCGTGCTGCGCGTGCGTTCCATGACATGTGGGAAGCGATAGACGATTAACGCGCGTGTGCGGTGTGTGTGTGTGTGTGTGTGTGCAGTTGTTGTTTTGTGATGCGTGCGATAGGGGATTTCACACCTTTTGTCTGTCGCCGCCGCTCAAGCGGCCGCCCATCGGCGGCTGGTTCTGCCGCGAGTGCGTCGAGTGCAAGTCGTGCGGCGGCAAAACCGCGGGCAAGGCCAAGAGCTGTCGATGGCATCGCGGGTACACTTCGCACCGCACGCACCGCACGCCTCTCCGTGTATTGATTGTAGCGAGGGGCACGCGTACAGGTACACGATGTGCGAGATGTGCTACAAGCGGTACAAGCACAACAAGTACTGTCCGGTGTGCACGCTCGTCTACCAGGACAGGGACGCGCGCAACCCCGCCCTCCTGCGTTCTTGCGTCAGCTGCCGTCACTGCGTACGTTTGGCTCTTCTCCTCGTGTGTGTCGTGTGTCGTGTTAATCAATTGTCTCTTGCGCGTGTCGTGTGTCGTGTGTCGTGGTGTGTTGCGTGCTGTCGTGCGGTCATGCAGGTGCATGCGGGGTGTGATGGCAACTTTGCGGGGGTGACCTCGCCTTACCAGTGCCCGCCGTGCCGCAAGAAGGGCGCGAAGCTGCCCACCAGGACCGAGTCGGAAGATGAAGAAGACGAAGAAGAAGAGGAGGAGGAGAGCAGGAACAAGAGCAGGAACAAGAGCAAGAAGAAGAAGGGACATAAGAAGAAGGGAAAGAAAGAGGAAGAAGAGGATGAAGACGACGAAGAGGATGAAGACGAGGAGGAGGAAGACAGGAAGAATAAGAGCGGAGGTCGCCAGTGGATGGCAAGAGGAAGAGGAAGAGCAGAGGAGGGGAGAAAGAGGAGCGGGAAGTCTCGCCAGGACGAGGGGAGAGAAGGAGCAAGAGGACCAGGGCAGGAGAGCCATAACGAGAGGCGGGGCACCACTGAGATCGATCGATCGCTACTTGATTAAATGTCTTTTGTATTTATATACATAATCGAATGTGGGAATGAATGCACGGTTTACCTTTGCCTCCTTCGTGTGGCCTTTAGGAAAAGGTGTTGTTGACGACGTAGTCGGCAGCCATCGAGGTGGCGATGGACTTGATCTTCTGCTTCTTGTCCTTCATGCACTTGCCGTAGCCGATGATGTTGGCCAGGCTCAGCACGAGGGCGACACCGATCAGGAAGAGGTATTGGAGCTGAGCGCCAAGGAGAGCCGTGATGGCGAGCAGAACCCACACCGGCACAGTACCTACCAGAGCCGTCCCTACACGACAGATCGCACGTCAACTTGATGAACGCGCCCCAAGCGGCCAGATCTCTAGATGGAACGTACAAAAGATGACAGCCTCTACAGCATTGATGGGGTTCTTGGAGGACTCGAACATCCAGACGTTGGTGCCATCCTCCTTGACGTAGTGCCACCATCTCAGCCCGACGAGCAATCGACCGGTCACGTTCTTCACTGTCCAGAAATCGGCAGCGAGCAGCAGTACGATGATGATGAAGGAAAGGATGAAGCTGTCGGTGATCAATTTGATGACCAGGTACAGCACGATGGCGGAAATCTTGAAGGCCAGGTGGAAGAAGACCGCGATGGGATGCTTGCGCGAGTTGTCTCCGCCCTGAGCGCCAGCAGTCGACTGGGGGTTCTCGACTGGCACCGACTGCTCTGCTCCCGTGAAGAAATCCTGCTCCATCTCTTCTTGGCGCTTCAATCACGATCGTGAAAAAAAAAATAGATGATTCCTTCTTGTGCTGGTCGCTCCTGTCCACGTCACCTACCCCGAACACGCGCTTGCCTTTCCTGCGCGATCAGGGAATTACCATTCTATGGCTGAACCATCAAGTTGAGTGGTACTAGGCTGGGCTTGCTGGAGTGAACTAAAAAGTGGTGAGGAGATGGGTCCAAAGGAATCGAACCCTGGGCCTGCGACAGCTTCACTGTTGAGTCTTCGCCGTAATGCCACTATACCAACCCATTTCCCCACCAGCTTCGTCCAGTCAACAGATCCTGCCAAAAGGCGGAGCGTTGTGGTTGGGCGGTTTTATTGTGGGAGCTCTGTCCACCACTGAAAAAGAACAACAAGACCAATCCAGTCACGCTTGCTTCTCCTGCTCTTCTTCGCCGAGCAGCCACTTGCCCAGCGTTCTGGACAGCGTCGCCCGATTCAGCGGCTGTCGTACCACCAGACAAGATAACAGAAGAAGCGTTAGATCGAGCACCTACAACCGGACATGTGCGAGTCAGAGCAGAACCTTAGAGAGGAAGTCGTCCATGCCCTGGCGCGCGCACTTCTGCTGGTACTCAGTCGTGGCGGATGCGGTGAGCGCGAGGATGGGGATGTGGGGCGTCGCAGCTCCCGCGTCTCCCGACTGTTGCTCGCCAATCTGGCGCTCCAGCTTTCGTATCCTCGCCGTCGCCTTGAACCCATCCATCACTGGCATCGACCCCCAAGTGAGTGTGAATGTCTTGAGTGCGGTGTGTGCGGTGTGTGTGGTACCTGGCATCTGACAGTCCATCAGTACGAGGTCGATGTGGTTGGCTCTCCTTTCCTTCTCGTGGTTGCTCTCGTCGCTGCCGTTCTCTTTTTCTGAGGCCGGTTCGCCGGCGTCGGTCTTGCGGTCCGGCCCGTCGGCGTGCTCGCGAATGCCGGCATCGTAGTGTCGCTCGACGGCGTTGACCGCTTCCAGGCCGTTGGCCGCTACGATCGCCTCGCAGCCGAGCGAATTGAGCATGCGCACGCCCACCTTCTGGTTGACTTGGTTGTCCTCCACCAGCAGCACCCGCTTGCCCTTCAGCCCCGAGCTCTTCCGGTCCTCCGGCGTCGCCGTCGTCGCCTGCTGCTTCTTGCCGCCGTTTTCTTTCGTCTCCGCTTTCGGCTTCGCTCTTTTGTTGTCGGCGTCGGCGAGCTTTTCCTTCGTCTTTTCTGCTTCTACTTCTTGTCGGCTCGACTCGCTGCGGTGGTTGGGCTGGCCCAGCTCCTGGCGCGTCTGGGCGCCGACGGCTTCGCACTGCTTCGAGAGCGCCAGTGACGAGTCGCGGCTGCGGGGGAGCGTGGACGCGACGCCCGCTGCCGCGGCGGCGCCAAAGTGTGCCAGGTGCGACGCGAGCGGCAGTCGCAGGGTGAGGACGAACAGGGAGCCCTCGCCCACGCGGCTCTGGCATTCGATCTTGCCGCCCATGGCCTCGGCGAGCCGCTTGCTGATGGCCAGCCCGAGGCCGCTTCCGCCGTACTCGCGCCTCAGCGACGTGTCGCCCTGCGAAAAGCCCTGTGTCATCGTGCGCGCGAACACTCGCCCAAGTCAGTCCAGCGCAGCGCGCGGGCACAACTGGCATGTGGCGACGTACGAGGAAGATCTGTCTCATACACTCCTCGCTCATGCCGATTCCTGTGGATCATCAGAAACGTCAGTCAGGCCATCGCACGACACGCACGACACACGAGGCGTGCCTGTGTCGGAGATTCGAATCACAACGAATTCCGCGTTGGCACTATCCTCATGAGCCTCCAGACGCACGCTGCCGTTGTGTGCGGTGAACTTGAAGGCGTTGGAGAGGAGGTTGTAGATGATCTGCCGGGTGCGGCGCGGGTCGCCCATTCGAAGCGAATTGGCGATGTCGATCTTTTTCTCGAAGTGAAGCTGCTTGATGCTTTTCGACGATGCCATCACCATCTGGCAAACCTGATGACGGAGACGAGACGGAGAGCATTAGACGCCAAAAACTACGGTCATCATCATCATGATCAGCAGCATTAGGCGCACCTGTTCGATCTGTTCGACGATATCAAAGGGCAGTCGCTCGAGGCGAATCTGATCGGTGTCGAGCGTCTGGAAGTCGAGAATGTCGTTGATGACAGTGCACAGGTGGTCGCTGCAGTCGGCGATCAGGGTCACCGCCTCGCGCAGCTTGTGGCTCCGGCGCACTTTGGTAGTGTGCACCATGTCCTCCACCGTCGATAATATGCCGTGCATGGGCGTACGCAGCTCTGCACACACGAAGCCGCGTGCTCGCAGCATTAGAGTTGTGCACACACACGACACGCACGACACACAGGTACCATGGCTCACGTTGGCGAGGAATCGCTCTTTGACTTTGATGGCGTGCTTGAGGTTCTTGTTGGCGCGCCTGGCCTCGTCGAGCGCGGTCTCCATCCGGTCGAGTGCATAGGCGCGCACGTACTCGTAGCCCGCGCACGACAGGCCCACGCACGTGATGAATGCCAGATTGACCACAAAATTCCTGCGCATTCCAGACGCGACACCGCGAGTGTCAACAACGACAATCACCATCATCAAGCAAGCTTGAACAGAAGAGGGGAGAGAGCTGATGATGGTAGTGGGTGGGCGCACGCAGGTGCGTCGACGACGATCGGGGGCATGGGGATGAACTGGCGGGCATAGAAGAGGAGCATCTGGAGGACGAACGAGCAGCCGAGCGACAGCGTGCCGGGCGTCGCGCCCAGCCCAAAGAACACCTGCAGCGGCAGCACAAGGAACCTGCACATTTTTTATTAATTAAAAAATAAATCTTGCTATTTTATTTCATTTTATATTGATTTATCAAAAAGCTGAAGAAAGTTAATGCAAAAAAATGATTGATCTATCAGTCACACGAGAAAAGAAAAATGAATAAAAGTAAATGAGAATAAATAAATAAATATTTTAAAGGGTGGTGTGCCATTTTTCGGTGCCGAGGTGAGGACGGTAGAGGCCAAAGTAGAAAGCGTGGGCGTAGATGTAGGCCACCCAGAGGCCCATGACCCGGTGCAGCGGTGCTTGCTTGGCCAGCATGATGAGCAGGATCGCGGCAACGAGCGAGTTGAGCACCAGCATGGAGAAATGGCGCAGATGATGCATGTGTAGAAGATTGCTGAGGTGGTAGTTCGCCACCTGAAGCGAGTGGTACTGCAGCTGATACGGATGCAGGAGGTGGACTTGTTCGCTGCTCTCTTCCTCATCCTCCACGTCCGCGCCGAAGAGGGCCTCCGTGATCAACCAGAAGATGCCGAGAAAGAAGAAGTGAATGAGAAGGACGGCGAAGAGGGTGCGCCGGCGTTCCTCCTGCGCGTGGCAGTGCCGACCATCGGCGATCCACCGCCCCACCCGCAGCACGGCCTCCATATCGCGGTGGCTCCACCGAAAGTGAAGAATGAAAAGATGAAAAATAAAAACGGTTTGCTCCCTTCGAGATGAACGAAAAGATGAAAATGAGGAGAGAGGAGCAAGTCCCACGCAGTGTGCGGCGAGAGGGACACGACCTATCCGTGGCCGTGCAGCTTCCGCTAAAGAATTGAGCAAAGAAAGAAACGCGAGCGTTGGCATAAAATTGATGGAAAGAGAGGCGCACAAGTAAAACGGCCATCGAGACACGATCACGACACCGGAGAAGGATTGCAGTGAGCCTTATGACATCGTCAGCCCGCGGCGATCCACCTGCACAGCGTGAAGCCTCGGCCGACCGCCTTGGGGGCGTCGGTATGATGATGGTGTACCGGCGGTGAGAGCCAGCGGAGGCGGATCTCCTCCGCAACTGGAAGACCATGCATCCGCCTCCGCTGGCTTCTCGCTGCGAGTGTGCTCCTCCAGTTTGCGGATCTCTTCCGTGGCAGTAAAGCCGTCCATGACTGCGCAATGCACGCGATGAGTTGATGTCGGGTGGCATGCCAAGTGAACACGCACACGCACGCACACGCACGCACACGGATCACAGATTCTACTGCGTACTGGGCATTTGGCAGTCCATGAGCACGAGGTCGATGCGATCTTCGGGGTCTGCGGCGCCGAGGCAGTCGTAGTGTCGCTTCATAGCGCTCAGCGCTTCGGCCCCGTTTACAGCCACCACCGGCTGGCACCCGAGGGCGCGCAGCATGCGCACGCCCACCTTTTGGTTGACGATGTTGTCCTCCGCCAGCAGTATCCGCCTGCCCTCGAGCCGGTCTCTCGGCCCTTCTTGACTTTGCTGTTCTCCCAGCTCCTTCGCTTCATTCTTTTTGGCTTCGCTTTCGTGCTCTTCGGGCTGGCTCGAGGTGGCCGCGTGTGGTGCTGACCGTGGGCTGGCCAGCGCTGCCGTGCCCTCGCGCGGCCACTCGACCAGCGCCGCCCGAAGGTTCAACGCTGCGGGCTTTTTGGGCTGGTCATCATCACGGGGGAGTCGCACGAACGCAGTGAACGTGGAGCCGCAGCCCAGTCTGCTCGAGCATTCGATGTCGCCGTGCATGGCCGCCACGAGTCGTTTGCTGATGGCCAGGCCCAGGCCGTTCCCACCGTACTTGCGCCGTAGCGAGGCGTCGCCCTGCGAGAATCCCTGCACAAGCCGGTGGCGGTCATGTGAGCATGTTTGCCCGATCCAACCGTAGAGAGCGAGAGCTGGATACCGTGAACAGGCTCGGCATCAGCGAGTCAGCGATGCCAATGCCCGTGTCGGACACTTGCAGGACAACAAGGTCGTCGTCATCGTTGTTGTCGGTCTTGTCGCCGATGCCGCTGCCTTCGCTGTTTTTGCCCTCTTGGGCAGAGTCGTGCACGGATATGCGCACGGTGCCGCCTTCGGGCGTAAATTTGAGGGCGTTGGCCGCGAGGTTATAGAGGACTTGGCGCAGACGGCGGGCGTCGCCTATTCGTGCGTTATACTTCACGTCGATCTCCTTCTCGAATGCAATATTCTTTTCCTTGGCTTGCGGCGCCAGCACGTTGTATACCTGGTCGACGAGAAAGAGATCCGCGTGAGTGTTCCAGCTCACGCTCAAGCCTGAAAGCGACAGTGGCAGTAGACAGGGTCGAGTGTGGGATACCTGCAGTACTTCGTCGGTGAGGGAGAGGCTGGAGACGTTGAGCGCGGGCTGATCGCGCATGAGCATCTCAAAGTCGAGAATGTCGGTGATGAGCGAGTACAGGTGGTCCGCGCAGTCGGAGATGATGCCGAGGGCATCGCTCAGCTTTGCGTTGCTGGTGATCCGGGTGTCCTCGCGGAGCTCGTGAATCATCGCCAGGATGCCGTGCAGAGGCGTCCTCAGTTCTGATCGCCGTGTAGTGTAGTGTAGTGTAGTGTAGTGTAGTGTAGTGTAGTGTAGTGTAGTGTAGTGTAGTGTAGTGTAGTGGTATGAGCAGCAATCCCAAATGCAGTAAGCTCACTGCGAGGAGGTAAGGTGCACTTTACCGTGACTCGTGTTGGCGAGGAAGCGCTCCTTGGCCTTGTCCGCCTCTCGGAGCCTAGAGTTGATGCAGTCCTTTTCATGGAGTGCCTCCAGCAGGGCATCTTCGGCGTGCGTGCGAGCGCACTCGTAGCCAACACAGGAGAGGCCCACGTAGGTGGCGAAACATAGATTGGCCCACAGCCGCCTGGACAAGTGATCGAGACAGTCGAGTGATGCGCGGTCAGACCTAACATCGACAAACGCGCAAGCTCACACAACCGCGTGCGGGGAGAGTGCACCCCTCGGCTTCGAAGAAGAGGTCGTTGACGAAAGGCTCGCAGGACATGAGCTCCATCATATACTTCAGGTTGGCGTGCAGCAGCACGTGCAGCGCTATGGTTGCCGACAGAGCCAGCGAGCCGGCGCGGCTCCCCAGCACGAAGAACACTTGCATGGGGATGATCAGCAACCTGGTGCGTCCATTGTTTATTAAACAAATAAACAATATATTTTGTTAGTATATAAATAAATATCTATATATAGGGCGAGAGATGGTATTAACAATAAGAAGTACCATTTATCGAGACCTAGGATGGGTCGGCACACGCAGGCCCAGCAGGCGGTGGATAGCACGAAGGCGGCCCAGAGCGTGATGATGGTGGTGGCGGAGAAGCCCCGCCGTAGCATGAGCAACAGACTGCCCGAGACGAGGGCGTTGGTCACGACGATGGGCAGGTCGTTCATGCGGCCCAGCGGGTGGGCCAGCACGATCCACACCCAGTTGAGCCCGAAGAAGTAGAGCAATATCGCGGCCAGGAGAAGCAGGCGGCCCTCCGCCATCGCCTCCCTGGGGCTGACCGCCCCATCGGTGCTGGGCGGCAGAAAGAAGGTCAGCGCGCTCAACTGCAACCCCCCTCTTCTGTCCATCTTCTTCTTCTTTTAGGGTCAGCTCTGGTTTTGCCTCCTGGGAGGCCGTGTTGCAGGGTGCACTTTTCTCTTCTCTTTTCTTTTTTCGTTTCCTTTCTTTTCCCAAGGAATGTGGGGTGTGCATTCCGCAGGCGTGTCCATTGCGCCATCAATCGCGCACTGGGCTGATTCATCAATGGACGCCAGGGGCAAGGAGGCAGAGCAAGACGTAAACTTGAAGATAGAGAAGGGGTTTTGGGATGGACGGACAACTTGTGGCACAACGACTCAGTGCTGCCGCCATCACGCTTCTCTGCGTGACAATGTTGCTGCTGGCAGGAACGGCGCAGGCCAATCAGGTACAGGCTCGTGTAGAGCTCACCCCCCCTGCATTCATCCGTAGTTAATTCCACCTCCATGGACAGTGCTTCATGCAACCGGATGGCACCATGCCGGTGGCAGGAACGTGCACCGGACCTGAGCAGCGCACGGCAGTTAAGAGAAACAGCATTGAGCGGGTGAACTTCAACTGCAGCCTGAGTGAAGTTCCTTACTTCGCCGACGGCAACAGCTCAGGCCCCATACTCGTACCCTTCCTTATCCATTCCCGGCTTTCTTCGCTCCTTGCTCAAGGTCTGCGTTGGTTGTAGTGCGGGCAGTGCGTGCCGGGCACTGCGGGGGCTGACGATTCACGGCGGCTGTGTGGCGTCAACGAATACTGCACCGACGACGCTCGGTGCAGAGCACTACGTTTATCACCTTTCTTCGCTAAGGCCTGCCCCTACGACGGAGGTAGATAAGATCTGAGACGGCTGGGGGCTGTGGTAGTTCGTTTCAGTTGACAGTTTGTCTGCGCGGTAATAGGAGCCATGTGCGGCGCTGGTCTGTCGTGTATCCAGCATGTGTGCGTCATATGCGAGGAGGGAGTGTACGACCCATCAGACGGAAAGATGTGCTACAATGGCCAGTGGTACGCACTCTCGGGGCACTAGAGTCAGATGACTGCACTCACAACCGCATCTCCAGGACGTACTCGGAGTGGGATACCATGAGCTCAGATCCGCAGGCAGTGTTCTTGTTGGTGATCATGATCCTCTTTTTCGTGTCCATAACTAGGCCTCTATTCGGTACAACAACGATCCTCTTCCGCCCCCACCCCAACTCGCACGTCTCTTACACTCTTGCGTGCAGTGCGGAAGGGAGCGTGGAAGAAGGGCTACCTGTTCAAGTTGCTGAGAAAGAACAAGAAGACGAAGAAGCTGGGCAAGTGGTTGGACAATCAGACAGAGATGGCCCTGAACAAACTCTTCCGCCGCCCCGACCGAGAGGACACTCGGCGAAGGAGAAGTGGGAGCATCCAACTCTCGCAAAAGGACGTCGTGCCTCGACCCGCCCTGGCAGAGTACGCCCGCCGAATCGTTCACACCTTCGCTTTCGTTCTTTGGGCTGAGCAGCGACCCTTCCTTCTCCAGGCCGGACATGACGGAGAGCTCCGCAGAAGACGTAACTGATGCGGTGACGGAGAGGAGCAGCGAAGAGGATGACAACGGAACGGAGATGGTGGACATGGCCGACGCGGCAAGCGTGGAGAAGAACGAAGCGACAGCTGAGCAAGAGAAGGTCGTGGGAGGTGGCAAAGCCCAGCAGGAGCGCAAACCACGACAGAACAGGGGACCAGGCAAGGTGATACCCACGCTCACACGAACGCGCGAGTTCGGCTTCCGCACCACCAAAACGGAATGGGAGGAGAAAGAAAGGGGTGCCCCCGCCTGATTTTACCAATTTCGTTCCGTAAAGAAAGAGAAGATCGCGAAGAAGACTGGGCTGTTTTGATTTTTTTGTATTTATGCACCTCCCTGGGAGTAAGGGCAGTAGGGGAACCTCCTTGCTTGAGTCTTGAGAGCGCAGTTTAGATCTCCTCCTCCTCCTCACCACCGTCACCGGCGGCCTCCTTCTCAGCCTTAGCCTTGACCCTCTTCCTCTTGTTACGGCCAGGACGACCGCCGCCGAAGGGCGAGTTGATGGCGAAGTCGACGTGCTTCTGGCTGTCGGTACGGACGATGAACGAGGGCACGTTGACGATCTGCTTGCCGACGCGGATGTGACGCTGGCGGATGAGGACGCGGGCGTGGTGGATGGACTTGGCCAGACCAATCTTGAAGACCTGGGTCTGGAGGCGACGCTCGAGGAAATCGTTGATCTTGAGGGCCAGCACGTAATCGAGCTTGTTCTTGCTCTCCTCCATGACGCCCATGCGGTGGAGGCGACGGAGCATAGCGGAACCTTCGAAGATGCGCTTGGGGTGCTTCTCGGGGAGGGTCAGCAGCTTACGCGCGTTCTTCCTCACCTTCGAGAGGGCGTAGTGGACACGCCACACCTCCCTCTTGTTCTTGAGGCCGAACTCGCCGATGAGCTTGAGCTCATGATCGAGACGCTCCTTCTCGAAGGGGCGACGAGGAGTCTTAACAGTCTTACCGTCTGCGTGACACCACAACCATAATCAGCCATTTGATTAATTGAATGAAACGGCAATGCGTGACGCCACTACGCCACGGCACGGCACAAGAGTCCTACTAGGACCGAGAAAAAGGTGCAGCGGAACGGGGTGCAAGGTCTCAGCGGGATCACATACAGTTTCTGATCGACATGACCGTCCAGCAGTGGTTCCCTGGCCGAGGATGGACGATACACCAGAAGAGAGAGGGAGGAAAAGAAAGAAGAAAGAAAAATCCTGCCAGCCCTCGCCACCTTCCTGCTCGCCCGTCGGACCTTTCACCGGACCTTTGAATTTGACTGGTCGGTTTCGGCGAGAATCAAAAGCACCGAAATAACCGGGCAGCGTCGTAGCTCGTTCGGAATGAAGGAATTTGTGCGTCCTGGGTGGACGGCAACAACCGAGGGACCTCGTGTTGGCTCGCAGAGGCCTGCGACTTCGTGGCTGTGTGGATTGGATTTGGCGAACACACACGAGAACGGCGGGAGTCAGAGAGCGAATCAAAGGACATAACTCGCGCCTTCGTTTCCACTCTCCTGGTTCTGAATGAAGACGTACAAGTTCAAGGTAAGGAGGGGAGTTTGTTGATTTTATGAATGGATATTGGGGGCGGGAACATGGTGTTTGTAAGGCATTGCCTCGTTGTTCACTTCATTCGTGCAGGGCGAATGGAGGGGCAAGAGTGCCGGCGGTTGTTTGAATCACTCCACCTGGCGATTCAACCCCCAGATCTTCTTGACGGTGAGGAGCAAGATCAACCTCACAATCAAATTGACCCAGGAAATTGATGAAGACTTGAACCACATTGGCTTCTACGTGGCCAAGAGCGACGGTACCCTCACCCTCACCCTCGCGTCGGCTAAAGCCCGAACCGCTTCTCACGTGCCACGTGAAACGTCCATTCATTTTTTGTAGGGAGCGGGCGACGACAGCTCAATCTGTCACGCGACCAGTTAATTGCCAAGGCCCCCTTTGAGGACTGCAAAACTGGTACGTTGGCAAACTTGTGCTCATTCATTTCTTTGCGCGCCCTGCTTCCTTCATCTCATCTCCTTGCGCCCGCAGTTGCCTTTGATGTTACCCTCGAGGCCTCGCCTGTGCAATACATCGTTATTCCATGCACATTTTTTCCGAAGCACGAGTGCAAGGTACCGATCTTCCACTCTCCCACCTTCTCCATCTTCAAAATTTCCGCGCGTTCTGTCTCCTCTCTTTTCATCTCAATTTCAAGTCCCAATCTCCATTTTCTACCCGGCGAAAATGTTGCTTCTTGTTTTTCATTAATGCTAATCCATCGTTTGTGATCCGTCCACAGTTCACAATGACCTTCACCACCGAAGGGGCGGACGCCCTCACCCTGGAGCCTTTGTCGCCCAGCAAGGAGTGGAAGCACGTATTGATTGAGGTACGGTGGAGGTCAAGGAGGAGGAAGAGAGAGAGAGAAAGAGAGTAAATGGGCCACACGAAACTAAGACGGAGACACACCTCGGAGAAGACACTGCTGATGAGATGAAGCCGATGGCGGCAATCACGGAGAAACTTATGGAATGGACCCAGCATGGACTGCCGTATGGACGACAGAAGAAGGCCTTGAGAGGTGGAGAGAACATGATCCTCGTGACCGCGATGGAACGAGGACGGAGTTACAACTGGACTGGATGGCCGGAAGAAACGGATGGAGAAAGGAGGAGTGGCGGTGGTGGGCTGAACATGAAGGTAGACCATGCATGCTGAACGTCGGCTCTCTTCCGCACGCGTGCAGGGCGACTGGAACGGCAAGTCCGCTGGAGGCTGCAAAAACCACGCAACCTGCCCCAACAACCCGCAATTCTTGCTCCAAGTGACGAGCCCCACCAACACCCACCTGCTGCTCACCCAAACTGAACGCACCGACTTCGACCACATCGGCTTCTATATTGCCAAGACCTGTACGCCTCTTTCTCTTCTCTTCTTACTGTGGAATTGTCTAGTGATTGCTCTGTGTGCTCAATGCGACTCGGGCCACCTCCATTGCAGCGTCCGCATCCGTCAAGATGCCCAAGATCAGTACTAGCGACATCATCGCCAAATCCGAGTTCGCCAGCACCAGAGAGGGTAAGCCCGGCTTGCTGTGTCGGCGGTCTGCCCTTTTGGTGATGTGTGCACTCATCCCCCGACTCTCCCTGCAGCTCACTGGAACGGCGTCTTGAAGCCCGACAGCATGTTTGTGGTCATTCCGTGCACGTTCGATCCCAACTGGGAGAGCAAGTTCTCTCTCACCATTCTCACCGACCAAGCGATCAAAATCAAGAAGCTGCAGGAGGTCAAGGATCTCACGCTCGAGGTACCAACGACAGTCTTTTCGCGTTATTGGGGGCTCCGCCCGTGGATCTGACTCTTGGTGCTTGCCTCAGGGTGATTGGAAGGGAGACACTGCGGGTGGTTGCATCAACCACTGGACATGGAGGAACAACCCCCAGTTCATGTTGACGGTGAAGAAGGACCTGACCGCCACGGTCACCCTCAAGCAAGGTGACTCAGATGCGATGCCCTCCGCGGGCTTCTACGTGACCAAGAGCAGTGGTACGCTGGAGGGTCCCTGTGTGCCTATTTACCTCTTTATTTATTTGAATGCAGTAACTAAACCTCATTTTCGTCATCAATTTGGCGACGACAGGCAAGAAGATTTTGATCATGAAGCCCGAGGACCTGCTCGGCAAGGGCGCCTTCGAGAAGAAGAAGACGATCTCGGCGGATATTGAGCTCAAGGCGTCGGAGCTGCCCTACGCCATCATTCCGTGCACCTTCTATCCCGACACGGAGAACTCCTTTTCCGTGTCGGTGACCCCCAGCACCTCACCATCCGATCTCAGGCTCCGGGCCTGCGCCGATGACTGGAGGAAGGCCGTCGCCAGCGTAAGCCAACGCCTCACGCCCCCCGCGCTCTGCACATCGTTCTTCTTCTCACCACACCACTCCACTCCAATCCGCTCAATCTCTCCCGATGTCACACAGGGCCAATGGGTGAAGGGTAAGACGGCTGGTGGTTGCCGAAACTACAAGAGCTGGCTCAGCAACCCGCAGTTCTTCATGCGCCTGCGAGCGAGGAGCGAAGTGGTCATCATCCTCTGCCAGCAGCAGGGCACGGAGAACCTGGACAACTCGATTGGATTTTACATCATACAGACCAAGGGTACGCACCGATCACCCAATTTGGCTCTGCTTTTCATCGTCGTCGTCATCATCATCGTGAATGAGCTCACGGTTTTGTTCTTGTTGCTGCTTTCCCGTGTAGACGTTGGCGTCGTCAACAACGCGAGGAAGGAGGACATCGTGCAGAAGTCTATCTTCCGCAAAGACGAAGAGGGTACGACCACACCGGCCCTTTCCTATCACGTACACGCGGCTCACCTTTCTTCCCCCCCCTCTCCCCCTCAGTCACGATCGAGGCCACGATGGAGGCGGGGAACTACAACATCGTGCCCTGCCTGTTCGATGCCAACCTGGAGGGCAACTTCTCCCTGGTCGTCTACGCGTCGTCGGACTTTGAGCTGGTGAGCACTTCCCCGATTACTGCGGTGACACACACACACCACACCACACCACTTCTCGAGAGATATCTTACTGACTACTCGCACGCGGCCGCTTCCACAGTCGTCCTTCGACACCAGCAGCACAGTCAAGATGTCAGCGCCTCCCGTCGACTCCACCCTGGTGACCGGCGGAGGCTCGGAGATTCAGCACATGCGACACAAGTTGCTTCAGGTGACCCTCCCCCACCCCCCCATCTGGTTCCACGATTGGGTTCTCCGTTTCTTCAGTACCTGACCGTTATTGTTCTTATTGTTTAATTATTATTTCTTGACGCACAGGAAAAGGAGAAGGAGAAGGACAAGTTCCACTCGTCGGACGAGGTAATCGCGACCATGCCGGCCGAGCTCGAGAGCGCGACCACCCCGAACGGAACCGAGATCCAGGTACGCCCCATCAACCAACCAAAACTCTTGCGAGGATTGGAATGCCCGACTCGAGTGCTCATTCCCCCATTCTCGTAGCCCTCTCCGCGACAACAGGAGGGCGAGAACAACGTCGGCCCAAAGGAAAAGAAAGAGAAGCGAGACAAAAAGAAGACGAAGAAGACGAAGGAGAAGGGAAAGGGTCTGAAGGCAAGCAAAGCGGGCTCGCCTCCGGTGCCGGTGGCGCAGGCTCTCTCGTCTTCATCATCCACGGTACACACAGCCTACTGCCGTCCCTCGCTTTCCCTCTCTATCGTCTCAGGCAGCTACAGACCGGCTGAACTGGCTCACCAACCCACATCATTGTTGTGTCGTCATCTTCGATCGCACACAAACAGGACGTGATACTTCCGGGCGACGGGGAGCGGCAACATTTCCCATGGGAAGTCGATTTCGATGAGATTGAAATTCTTGAAAAAATCGGTCAGGGAGGCTTCGGCGTGGTGTACAAGGTACTTACTTCGCTACCTATCTTCGTCACAACGTTTGGCCATCGTGTGATGTGATTCCTCTTTGTGTGTGTTTGGCATGTCTGACTCTCTTTTGGTTGTTTTGCGTTCACAGGGGCTGTGGCGCGGCACGACTGTGGCCGTGAAAAAGCTGATTCAGGAAGAGATGGACGACAGTTCCTACCAGGAATTCCTCAAGGAGATTGAAACGATGAGGTACTCTCCTTTACTACTGTTACTCTGAAGCTTGCTTCTCTCGTTGTGCTGATGTTGTGTTGTGTTGACGGTCACGCTAACCCTCTTCCCACTCTTCCAGCAAACTGCGGCACCCACAGATCGTCCTGTTCCTCGGCGCGTGTTTGACTCCGCCCCACATCTGCATCTTGACCGAGTTTTTGGAGCGCGGCAACCTGGCGGAGGTGCTCCGAGACCGCAAGCTGCCCTGGCGCACCAAGGTGTCCATGGCCTGCTACGCCGCTCAGGGCATGAACTACCTGCACCAGTCCAAGCCCAAGGTGGTGCACAGGGACCTCAAATCCCTCAACCTACTCGTCGACGAGAACTACCACGTCAAGGTGCCACAACACGCACACACGACACACGCACACGCACACGACGCACGACACGCACACGACACAACTAACCCATATTCTTTAACCAGGTGGCCGATTTTGGTCTGTCCAAGGTGTCGGTGACCGGCAACACGCTGAACTCGAAGGTGGGTTCGCTCAACTGGTGTGCGCCAGAGATCTTGCTTCAGTCGATGCCCTACACGGATAAGGCCGACGTGTACTCCTTCGGCATGGTGCTGTGGGAGCTGCTCACCCACGAAGCCCCGTTCGCCGGCATGCACCCCCTCCAAATCGTGCGGGCAATCGATCAGGTACACCTTGCTCCTCTCCACCTCTGAGCTGCATTCACTCCACCGCACACGCACACGCACACGACCGCACACGCTAAACACGCGTTTCTTCTTGGAATGCAGGGCAAGCTCCCCGACATTCCTGCAAACTGCCCCTCGGCCGACTATGCCAAGCTGATCGAGGACTGCTGGGAGAAGGACCCCGACAGCAGACCCGGCTTCGACCACATCCTCGTGCGACTGGAGAAGATCAAGAAGGAGGCCATCGAGGCCGACAAGTCGGGTTGATGCTGGTGAGACCCTTCTCTTGTCCCCCCCTCCTCTATCCTCCTCCTCCTCTTCCTCTTTTTCACCGGCTTCTGCTCGAGCCCGCCACGTCTTTGCAAGTCTGGCGTGCCCTCTCTGCAGCGAGCTCTCTTCTTATACTTCTCTTTCTTCTTCTTCCATGTATCAAATACGGATGCTCTCTACACCCAAACCCCAACAAACAACAAATAATCATTATAACAACCACTTCCCTGCTTCACACCACTTGGCTCGCCCAACGTCCTCTCCGCCCACCATTTACACCTATCCTCACCTTCCTCTCCCTCTTGGCGTAAGATCGCCATCATCATGACAGCTGGTGCTCGCTATGGGGTAATTCTGGTTTATTGCCGAACCGCGTCTTGCTCGCGACGTTAGCGCCGAACTCGCCGAGAAGTAGAAGAGAGAGCTTGCTACATACATGCGTCGAGGAGCCAAGAGAGTTGTTCTACGTCACCACCAAGAGCTTCGATTCACCACCACTACTACACCAACCTCTTCGCAGCTTTTCTTTTCTTCCTTTCGAACCGCCAGCACCTGCGTTAAACTCAGCGCATCACGTTTGCATCTTGCACGCACAGCCACAGCATCTTCCCCGCATCTCCACAACAGCAGCACATCAGCGCTCATCACCAGACCCCACGCCAGACGATTTAGTAGCACAAGCACCGACATGTCGACCGCCAAATCACTTCATGAACTCACTGCCGAGGACAACCAGGGCCAGACCTTCGACTTCTCTCAATTGAAGGGCAAGGTGAGCACCGATCGCAGCGGGGCATGAAGATCAAATTCATCATCACATTTACTGATTCATCATTTTATGCGACTGTCGTGGCAGGTGGTGCTCATCGTGAATGTGGCCTCCAAGTGCGGCTTCACGCCTCAGTACAAGGAGCTGCAGGCCCTCTATGAGAAGTACAAGGACCAAGGTACGCCTTTTGCAGATTGAAATCTTCGCTCTGGCTTAGCTCCGTCTTCGCGCAGGCCTTGAGATTGTGGGCTTCCCCTGCAACCAGTTCGGCAGCCAGGAACCCGGCTCCGACGCCGAGATCCAGGAGTTCTGCCAGGTTCGCCATTTGCCCCTGTGCTTGTGTGCGTGTGCGTGTGCGTGTGCGTGCGTGTGCGTGTGCGTCTGTAAGCTCACGCTTAATGGTCAACAGAAGAACTATGGCGTCAGCTTCCCGATCATGAAGAAGATTCACGTCAACGGTGACGAAGTCCACCCGGTGTACGCCTTCCTCAAGAGCAGCAAGTCGGGCCTCCTCGGACTCAGTCGCATCAAGTGGAACTTCGAGGTGCGTCTGCGGCCCTTCGCCTCCTTCTTCGCCTCTGAACAGTGAACAAGTGAATCTCACCCTGGCGCCACCCACACAATACAGAAATTTCTGGTTGACTCTGAGGGCGTTGTGGAGGAGAGGTATTCGTCGCTCACCAAGCCTGAGTCACTCGAATCAACCATCGAGAAGCTGCTTCACAAGTAAGCAGGAGATCGGACACTTCAGTCTTTCCTGTGCCACAGCCAACAACAACACAGCTTTCCCTCAGGCCCTTCGCCTTCTTTTTCTTCTCACCTGGGCACAGGCACGATTGCCACCAACATCATTGGAACTATCATGATGTGAGTGAATATCACTTTACTGGTTACACAATGTTGAATTCCCACCACTACACTCTTCTGCTCTTCTGTCTTGCTCGCAACGGCCATCAAGAGATGGGGAAGAGAGTTGTCCTTCAAGGCCACCTATTGGATGAGGAGGTCCACAAACTCATCATACTTGAGGTTGCCCTCAGCATCAACTTCACACGCCTTCAGCAGCGAATCAATCTGGACAACACACCCAAGCCACCACGTCAACACCTTCACCACCATCACGTCGAAGAAGAAGAGAGTGTGAACCTCTTCGCTGGAGAGGGGCTCGCCAAGGCTGCCGAGGAGCACGCGCAGGTCGGCCTCGGAGAGCTTGCCGTGCCGGTGTTGTCAAGGAGGCGGAAGGCCTGTCGCATGTCCTTCTCGAGCTCCTGGGGGCGGCGGAGCTTCTTCCTGTAGAGGCCCTTGAACTTGTTGAAGTCCACGGGACCCTCCCCTACGCATCGCCACCATATTTCATGATATTGGTCCCAGCGTCGTGTTGATTGTAGGGGGGGGGGGATATGAAAGATATCGACATACCAGCTTCGGCGATGATCTGGTCCAGCTCCCTCTCGAGAGGCGCCTTTCCTGTAGGTTGGGAAGAAGCAAGTAGCAAGGTATGGTTTTAGGGACCTGGCGCCGCTGAAGAAGGTGAAGGGGTGAATGGACATGTACCGAGGGCGCGGATCACGGTTCCGATGTCATCGGCGGCGATCAAGCCGGTGTGGTCAGTGTCGAAGCAGTTGAAGGCTTCCTTGATCTCCTCTTCCGACGTGGCCATCTTTTCTGTTTGCTCGGGATTGCAGTAAAGAAGACTGTGTCGAGCGTGAAGGTGAACCCCCTTGGTTCGTCCACAGGTCAACCGCCTTTGCTGAAGGTTGGGTTTTTGTCACACATTTCCTTTTTAAGGGCCGACCGCACACGCCGACCTGCGGGGCGCATTCCTAAGGTGGAATGTTAGACTGTGCAGGCCAGAGCTTGAGATGGAGAAGAAGAGATCGATGTCGAAGACAACCGAGACGACCGTAGCGGCCAGGCAGTTTTGCCGGGCGTTTCTTCCCGCCAATAGCCATATTTCCTTGCTAAGTTGAGCCAATCGCTGTTGCTCCCTTTCAGCCGCCGGAAAGCTGGCCGAGCGGGCGAGAGCCCGCTATCGCCCTAGTGAGTGTTGAAGGAGGTCACCGTGGTGCCACCCAGGGTATCCACGCAGACTACCAGCTATATAAGTGACCTCAACCTCACTGTTGTTTTTATCTCCACACTCAACCAACAACACCTGTCAGCTTCCCATCATGAAGACCTTCATCTTCACCGTAGTGGCGCTCCTCTTCGTCATCAACGCCGCCCAGGCCACCCTCTTCTTCTGCCAGGACAGCACCTACGACCCGGTCCAGCCGGCCTTTGCCAACTCGGCCAGGTTCAACGCCGAGAGGGCCATCTTCAAGGAGTTCAGGGACTACTTCGCGCAGATCACCGCCCACCTCGACCTGGGCAACACCACCGTCGAGGCCAGCGTGCTCAACCAGCTCAACGCCAAGCTCACCCAGAAGGGCTTTGACAACACCGTGCAGAGCTTCACCATCACTCGCTCCAACGGCGACATCACCATCGACACCCAGCTCGGCGTCAACCCTGACATCGACAACCATGGCGGCCGCTACTCGCTCGGCAAGGTACATTCCAATACATTCCATCTCTCGATCTCTACATTCGTGTGTTCGGATGGTCCAACGTGCTGACTTGATGGGGTTGTGCGTTGGCAGCCGATGTGGTGCCGCGACTTCCAGACGCTGGTGTTCGACTACACCTACGTCACCCGCACCGGTCTGCAGTACCGGTTCTGGTCGCAGGCCGTGCAGACCTCCGTTCTGGAGCAGTGGTTCTCCTTCAGGTGGAACATCCCCGTCCAGTAAAACTACGAACATTCTCAAGTTTATGTCCGACCCAGTCGTCACGCCCGTTCGGGCCATTAAAAAACTGTAACCTCCGGTCCTGTTGCACGCAACATCTTACTCGCACTCTAGCAATTAGCGTGAAAAGAAAATGTTTGCATTTCATTAAGGGAAACAAGTACAACAACAATTGGGAAAGAGGAAGAGAGGTGGCTGGCGTTCCGCACTTCAGAGGAACAGCAATGTGTGCAGCCGGAATAATAAGAAAATGGTGTGTTCGTGGCACGTCGTGGTTCGGACCATGACGCGCTGGCTTCAGGGCTTGATGGGATCGCCGCCAAAGATGATCTTCCACTTCTCGCTCAGGCTCACGCAGTGCGATAGCGGAGTGAGGCAGGTGAGCTCCCTGTGCAGGGCCGACCCACCTTCGGTGGCAGTCGCCGGCACCTTCGCCTCCCTCTGACTCAGCGGCACGCGCTGGTGCTGGTGCTTCTGCTCACCGTCACACGAAACACGCATTAGTGAGTCGTGTAGTGTGCGGGTGCGGCGATTCGTGCGTGTCGTGGGTGGGTCGTGTGCGGGGAATTACCATGTGAACAGGCCAGACCTGATCGTTGGCGTTGAGGAAGGCGTAGCCGCCGCACGACGACGACTGCCGCTTGCCAAACGGTACGCTCGCACTGGCGCTGCGCTGGGTCCCGGTGGCGGGCTGAGACGGCTCCTGGCCCAGCAGCATCTCGCGGGCGTTGGCCAGCACGCGCTTGGGTCCGTCCAGCGCGTCGTGCTTGCACTGCAGCCAGATGAAGCCGTAGTTGGGGTCGGCGTTGATGCACATCTGCTCGAGGTCGTGCACGTCGGCCGCGGCGGCGCCCTTCTCGATGAGCTCCAGCCGCAGGTACTCGACAAACGAGTCGCCGTACTGCGGGGTGAACTGTATGGCGAACTGCAGGAAGCGCCGGGCGTCGACCGGGTTGCCCCGGCGCAGCGCGATGCGGGCGCCCTCGCACCACACCTCGCCCGACTTGGGCACCTCCTGCAGCGCCTCCTTAAACACCCGCAGCTGCGCCGGCTCATCCCTGCGCAGCCAGTGCAGGTGGATGAGCACGGCCCACAGCCGACCGGTGCCGGTGTGGATCCGCAGGGCCTCCTCGGCCTGCACGATGGCCTGCGCGATGTTGTTGGCGCGGATCTCGAGCAGCACACTCTCGAGGAAGACGCGCCACTCGTGCTTGGTCTCCTTGCGGGCCTTGCGGAGGATGAGCCGCGCGGCCTCGGTGTGGCCATCGTACTCCTCGAGGCGCGAGCACTCGAGCAGCACCGCGGCGCGCATCTTGCGCGGGGCGGCCCCGAGCGCGCGCTGCAGCAGCTTGCGCGCGGCCTTGGTGTTGCCTACGCTCAGCTCGGTCCTCGCGCCTGCACACACGACACGAGTGGTGAGTGTCGTGTTGTGTGTCGTGTCGTGTGCGGTGTGGATGGTCGATGACGTACCGCCGAGCCAAACCTTCCAGATGAGGTTCTGCGGGCAGGAATAGGCGCTGCGGACGTACTCGCGCCGGCAGCGCTGGAGGTTGCCGGCCCTCTCTTCCACCTGCGCGTGCTCAAAGTGGATCTTCCACACCAGCTCCTATAATGAATCACCCGAGACGCAAAACACGACACGACACGACACACACCGCGCGCACGTTAGTCTCCACCTCAACCAAGACCGAACGCGCATTTGGCGGTCCGAACCTTGGGCACGCAGGCCAGAGCGCGCTTAACGGTGTTGCGGAGGGCGGTGAGATCGCCCGAGAGCTGCTCGTAGGCGAGGCGCTCCTGGACGCGCAGGGCCGAGAACCAGAGCGGGCCGTAGCGCGGGTTCTCCTCGAGCCCCTTCTCGACCAGCACCGACGCGCGGCGGTGGTGTTCGTGGCGCTCCTCCAGGCGGAAGGCCTCGTTGAAGATCGGCCCATACCAGGGCACATGCCGGATCAGGTACTGCACAAAAAAAAATGATGATGTCATCATTCCATTCATTCCATCAAAAATGCATGAGCCAGGCAGGGAGGTACCTTGAAGACCTCGCGGGCGACGTGGAGGTTGCCGGCGCGGGCCTCGAGGAGGCCGCCCTCGAGCACGGTCTTCCAGGTGCGCTCGACGGACTCGGCCTTGAGGCGCGACATGAGCGAGCGCGCGCCGGGCAGGTTGCCGATGCGCTCCTCGTGCTTGAGCGCCTTCACCAGCAGACTCTCGCTGTACGGGCAGTGCGTGAGGCCCTCCAGCAGTATATCCTGCGTGTTCACCACAGCCCCATCATCAGCTCACCGCGCGCGCGCGCACACACACACACACACACATCGCACACAACACGAAACGCGACACGACACACGATGAAGTGGGATCGTACTCGGCACTTGGTGAGACGGCCGCACTCCTCCTCGAGCTTGGCGTATTCGAGCCAGCCCTGGCTGGCCGAGGGCTGGAGTTGGACCACCTTGGCGTACCACTTGCGGGCCTGCGACGCGGCGTTCTCCCGCTTGAGGAAGTCGGCCAGCTCCAGGCACACGCGCCAGTGGAGCGACGACGGCAGCGTCGACATCTGCTCCACCGCGTAGTCCCTCGCGCCCTCCACTCCCGACTCCTGCGCGTTCAGCCCCATCAGCACATATCGTATGCGCGTGTGTCGTGCTGTGTCGTGTGGTGTCGTGTTGTGTCGTGTTGTGTCGTGTGCGGTACCTTCTCCTTGCGCTTGAACTGGCGGAGGAAGTTCTTGAAGGCGGCCTTGACCTGGGGGCTCTCGTGCGGGCCGCAGTAGCCGTCGCTGTCGGACCCGCTCTGGTCGTACTCGCCGTCGCTGTACGACTCCCGGCGCTCGTAGACCTCCTGCACGGGCTGCTGCGCCTGGGACTGTTGCTGGTACTGCTGCGGCTGATGAGGCTGGTACTGCGGCTGCTGGGCGTGGTGGATCGCAAAGTGCTGCTGGTGGTGGTAGTCGGGTGTGGGCAGCAGAGGCGACTCCTGGCGGTACACCGGGACCTGCTGCTGGGCCTGAGCCTGAATCTGGGCCTGGTGGTACTGCTGCTGCTGTTGCTGCTGTTGCTGCCTCAACGCCGCCTGGTGCTGCAGCTGCAGCTGCTGCTGTTGATGATGAAAGTACTGCTGCTGTTGATGGTGAAAGGCCGCCGAGGCCTGGGGGAGCGGCAGCACAGTCGTAGCGGGTCCGTAGTTGGCCGTCGCGGCCGGGGGCGGCGAGGGGGTGCGACGCTCGCGCAGGGGCTCGGCCCGGGGGTAGTGCTGGGGCTGGGGCTGCTGGTTGAGGGCCGACGTGTACTTGGCCGGGGGCACGGGGGCGAAGGGGAGAGCGGCGGCTCCCTGGGTCTGCTGCATGAACTCGTTGAGGAAGGAGAACGAGAAGTAGGAGAAGCTGGAGAAGGGCGGGGGCGGGAGGGAGTTGTTCTTCTTGAGCAGGGACGAGGGCGGCGCGGAGAAGAGCGAGAAATCATTCTCATCGGCGGTGTTCATCGACGAAGATGACGCGCAGGATGCGACAATGGGATCCGAGGTCGATGCGGAAGACGAGTAGGGCTTGGTCCGATCGGCGGTCATCATCGGGTCGAACCCAGCGCCAGAGGAGAAGTAGGAGGGGAACGTGGGACGGTTGCTGCCCACCACCTTGCTCGCTCCATTCAGATTGCTCACCACCGGGATGTTCTCGGCGTCGGCCATCAGATCGTAGCCTTGCCACGCGTGCTGCGGCACCGCGAGATGCGTTGCCATCTTTTTCTTTTGCTCTCGAGCGACAGCGAGTTGCGCTTGCGTCGAGGGGCCGTGTGATGAAGAGAAAGGTGAGGTAGAGAGGTCTGTTTGCCAGCCCACGCCTCCGCTGCGCGCCACGAACACCAACGCTCGCCGGCCTCCGTTTTGGCGCCAACGCCCAACCGCTAAGGATTGTGCCAACGGTCGCTTTTTTGTCGACTGTGTGCGGTGGTGTTGTGCGTTGTGTGTTGTGTGCGGTGACAAAAGAAGATAGAGCGCGACGGTTGTATTTGACACACTTAGAAGAGAGGACAAGCGGAAAGAGAAGTGGGAAGAAAGAGAGAGAAGAGGGTTTACAAGTAGAGACCTTCGGGCACACCCTCATTCTTACGGTAGAGGACCTTCTCCTTGGCCTTCTTGAAGTCGTCGTGGGTCACCTTCATGCGACGCTCGCGAAGAGCAAGAAGACCGGCCTCCGTGCAGATGGCCTTGATGTCGGCGCCGGAGAGGTCGTCCTTGGCGTGGATGAACTCTTCGAGGTTGACGTCCTCGGCGAGGGTCATCTTGCTGGTGTGGATCCTGAAGATCATCCGCTTGGTCTTGATGTCGGGCAGCGGGAACTCGATCTTACGATCGATACGGCCGGGACGGATCAGCGCGGGGTCGAGCGTCTGAATCCTGTTGGTGGCCATGATGACCTACATGAAGAAGAAAAAGACGATGACGACGACATTGAGACTTCGTGTAAGTGAACTGCACTGGCTGCAAGACTCGGCTGTGATTGACTTACCTTGACATCGCCGCGTGAGTCGAAGCCGTCGAGCTGGTTGAGGAGCTCAAGCATGGTACGCTGAATCTCCCGCTCACCGCCGGAGGTGGCGTCGTATCTCTTGGTACCGATGGCGTCGATCTCGTCGATGAACACGATGGAGGGCGAGTGCTCCTCGGCCACCCTGAACAGCTCGCGCACCAGCTTGGGACCGTCACCGAGGTACTTCTGGATGAGCTCGGAACCGACCACGCGGAGGAAGGTGGCTGACGTGGAGTTGGCGACGGCCTTGGCGAGCAGCGTCTTGCCGGTGCCGGGCTCGCCGTAGAGGATGACGCCCTTGGGCGGGTTGATACCGATCTCCTCGTAGAGCTCGGGATGGGTGAGCGGCAGCTCGACGGCCTCCTTTATCTCCTGAATCTGGGACTCCAGACCACCGATGTCGGCGTAGCTCTCGAGAGGAGCCTTGTCGACCTTCATCACGCTCACGAGCGGGTCCACCTCGTCCGAGAGGATACCCACGACAGACAGCGCCTGCATACAAGCAAGAAAGAATGAATGATAAGCCAAAGACGGCAGCAAAAGGCGATGAATCCTTCATCTTGAATTGATGTGGCATAAATGTGGCATAGCATTGCGGAAAGAGCAAAGATCACAGTGGCAGCCAAAGAAAGAAGCAAAATCGAGCTCAAGTGACACTGGATCTGAACGCATCTAGATCTGCAGGAGTGCAGGGAGGCTGGGTTGCGTACCTTGTTGTGAAGAAGCACAGAGCAACCGGGCTCGAGCAGATCCTTGTCAACAAAGGACATGATGGTGACGTAGTACTCGGGGCCGACCGACGATCCGACGATGGCGTGGTTCTCGTCGATCCTCTCTTCGAGCGTGCCCACGCCCATGGGCGAACCACGCAGCTCATCGACCTTCGTGCGCTCCTCCTGCGCCTTCTCCTCCTGTGGCTTCAACACCTCCTGGTTCTGTACAAATTCTTCCTCCATCAAGAGCCAATCCTTGATTCGCTCGAGCTTCAGCAAGCGCAGGCGACATTTCGTGTGTGGAGTGACTGCAAGAGCGTGGTCAGCCAATCTGATCTGATGCCACTGAGATGCGACTGATCTTAAGTAGCGTACCAACTGGGATCCTGGTAGCAAGGTCGCCTGCTCCCTTGCGCAACTTCTTCTTGCTGCCGGCAGGGGGCGTGTAGGGCTCGAATGGCTTCTTCTCCTTCTTTTCTTCAGGCTTCTTGTCGTCCTTCCTCTGGCCACCGGGGGCACCACCCTGCGATTGCTGCTGACCCATGATGATTTGCTCTTGCTCTCTCGATTCTGGTGGTCTCCTTCGTTTATCTTCTGCAATCTAATCCTTGGTCTGCGTTTGTTGTCTGCCACAGCCAAGCATGAGCTGGGGCGAGGAGGCGAAATGGGGAAATTTCCTCCTTTCAAAACGGTTCCGCAAAGCAATCCTGTTTTGGAAATGTTTCAAAATTTTTTAGAATGTGAAAAGGACAAAAAGCGGCAGAAAATCGAAAGGGACACAGCGAGACAGAACCTTCGACTTGGTGGGTTATTGATAATCTTTCATCTCTCTTGGCATTGAGGGGCACCCGCGACGATCTGCTGTGCCAGTACGAGGGTGGTGAGGCGAGACGATAAAGAAGAGGCGGTATCGCGGCCACTTGATGGAATAAGAGGAAGACTTCGCAACGACTTCCCCCAGCCCCCTTCCTTCCTGCCATCCAATCGAAACACTTCACCAACTCTCATTCAAACTCGAGCGAACCCCGTGTATGATCGCGAGCTGATGTGAAAGGATGGAAATGGCGGCTGTGAAGCAACAAACACAACCATCCTCTGCTGCCGGTGCCGGTCCTGCCCCCATGCTGAAGAAGGGGACAGTCGCCGGTTCGATCACAACCACCGCTACTGCCGTCAGCTTGGCGGCTTACCCTCATGGGGGCGCCTTCCACCCTTACACCAAGCCCCTCGATGGCGCACCAACCAACCTCCAGCCTCGCCTATCCGCTGTAATCCCCCCCTCCCTCAATTCACCAACTATCTATCCCATTTTGATGATTATTTTTTTCCCCACATCCCTCAATCATTCCTGGCCCATCAAGCTTGGTGGACCCTTCTTCATTCCTTTATTCTTATTTATCAAAATCACACTTTTTTTTTGATCAACCTCAACCGTTGATTTAGAACCGCCTTTCGCTTTCTTATTTCGCTCATTCAATTATTGCGTTCTTTTTTTCCTATGCCGTGCAGCCTCTTCGTCGATTGACGTCCTACATCAACGACTCGTACCGAATATGCAATCCGGGATTCCGCTACATGTCGAGCCTCAATCCTCGGCGCGTGCTCACCAAACCCGCACAAGGAGTGCACAACCAAAACTACGATAACGCCAACTTCGATCTCATACTCTATGTCAACGACATCCTCGGCCTCCAGACCAAGAACCGGTACGCCCAGTCTCGTCTGCCCAGCTGCATCGCGTCTTGCAATCTCTCCTGAACGTGCGTTGTGTGCGTTGTGTGCATGTCCGTGGTCTGCGACACAGGTATGTCGTGCTGGACCTGCTTGGCCAGGGCACGTTTGGCCAGGTGGTGAAGTGCCGCAAGCAGGACACGGGCGAGATAGTCGCCGTCAAGGTGGTGAAGAACCGCCCGGCCTACTTCAACCAGGGCATGTTCGAGGTCCACATCCTCGAAGTGGTACGCCAACCACCTTGCCAGATTCAAACAACGTCTGTTCAGCCTATCAGCAGCTTACACACCACACACGCACGCACACACACACACACACACAGCTCAATTCGCGCTACAACGGGGACCAGCACAATATTGTGCAAATGGTGGACTCCTTCATGGACCGAGGTCACCTGTGCCTGGTGTTCGAGCTGCTGAGCGTCAACCTTTTCGAGCTCATCGCCCAGAACCAGTACAAGGGTCTCTCGACCAACCTCATCCGCATATTCCTGCGGCAGATACTCAAGGCCCTGGTCGTGCTCGAGGAGTGCGGGATCATCCACTGCGACCTCAAGCCGGAGAACATTCTCCTGCGCAAGTACGCCCCGATCGCTCATCGCACCGCCTCTTCTTTCACGTTCTCACCGACTCATCGCAACACACCGCTTTCTCTCTTTCTCTCTTTCTCTTTCTTTCTTCGTCCATCCAGCACAACAACACCACACATCAAGCTCATCGACTTTGGAAGCGCGTGCTACGGACATCAGACGGTGTACACCTACATACAGTCTCGCTTCTATCGATCACCCGAAGTCCTGATCGGCCATCCGTACGGATTACCACCAATCAAGCAACCAGCCAACCTCCACACCCTCTCATCAACCACCTTTGCTGACAATTAATTGTGATTTGCTGAACTGTGAGCAGATACACGACGTCCATCGACATGTGGTCGTTGGGGTGCATGGCCGCCGAACTCTTCCTCGGCATTCCGCTCTTCCCCGGACACAACGAATACAACCAGTTGGCGCGGATAGTCGAAATGCAAGGGTAAGCGCCTTTCTCTCTCTCTCTCTCTCTCACACACCACACACACACACACACACACACACACCATACATTGAGGGACTCACGCGTGCGTGTTTCGGCCATACGTCCAGCGACATCCCGCAACACCTGCTGGAGCGAGGCAAATTCACGCCCAAGTTCTACAACGCGATCCCGATCGACAGCGCCCGGTTCCACTTCCAGATGAAGTCCAAGGAGCAGTGGTCCGAGGAGAACAACACCAAGCCGCGTCCCACGAAGCGATACTTCCCGGCGGACAAGCGGCTCGGCGAGATCATACAGGCCTACCCCTGCAAGAAGGGCATCACGCCCCAGGCGCTCGACCAGGGTACGTGCATGCCATTCATTCCACACACTTACGGTGGCACAGCGTTGACCCCTCACACACAACACACAAACGGCCAATCAACAAATAACAGAGAAGCGAGCGCGCGTTGCGTTTGTGGATTTCATCGAGGGCCTGCTCCAGATCGACCCAAACGAACGATGGACGGCGGAGCAGGCCGGCCAGCACCCGTTCGTCACGGGACAGCCCTTCACCGGCCCCTGGACCCCGCCGCCCCGCAAGCCGGTCACTCCGCTCATCGCGCCCCCGCCTTTCGGCCCCGGCGTGGGACCCACCGCGCGCTCGCCGCCGGCACTAGCGCCCGCCACGGCTTCCGAGCCTCAGCTCTCCTCCTCCCTGCCGCCCGCGTCCCTCGCCATCAACCCACCAACAGCGGGCCAGCGAAGACCTGGCCCGCTGCCGATGACCACCGGCGGACCGCCGCCGCCCATGGGTCTGCCGGGTGGTACCGGCGGCGGCGTGGGACCCGTCTACAGCCTGGTGGCGGCGGAGAAGAACGCAGCCCTCGGCCGGCGGGGCAGTCTGCCGGTGGCCCACGACCTCTCCGCGATGATGCCCTCGGGTGTGCCCCTCATGGCCGGCGGCGGGTACCCACCGCCGCTGCCGCACGGCTTTGGTGGACCGCCGCCGCCGTATCCGCCGCCGGGCATGCAGCTGCAGGGTCCGCCACCGGGCCATCCGGCCAGCGCGGGCGGCAACCCACGCGGCGGCGCGCAGCAGCAGCGACCGCGCGGACAACAGCAGCAGCCGCAGTACCCATCGCCGCCGTCCGCGTCATCGCACATCCAGCGATCGCCTCGGTCGATGCCCAACATGGCACCTTCGGGCGCCTACGGCCAACAGCCGCTGATGCAAGCGCAGCACGGGCAACGCGGTGGTGGCGTGCCGCCGGGCTACGCCGACCTAATACCTTCGGCGTCGGTCACGCTATCGACGTCGCCTACCACCACGGCCACCACCACCTCGTCGCTGCCGTCGTCGCCCAAGTCGTCGTCGGCCCTGGCGGCGGACCCGGCCGTGGCCTACTACTACGACTCGTCGACCTATCCGCCGCCCGAGCACGGCAACGCCGCGGGCCGGGGCAAGCCCACGCTGGGACCCTTTCAGAAGCAACTCGACGCCCGCAACCAACACCGGTGCGTCTCTCTTCCGCCCACTCGCTTCCCCCCCTCTCGCTCACGCGTGTTGCCGTCGTGTGTGTCGCGTGTGTCGTGTCACAGGCGGCGGTCGGTGAGCATGGACCCCAAGCGACAGGGCCTGCCCAAGCAGCGAACACAGACCGCAGCGGCCATCTCGGCTGCGGCGGGCGAGATCTCCGCGGGTGGCGGCGGCGGTGTCGGCGGCAGTGGCAGCGGTGGCAAGGGGAAGGGCAGCCAGCGGATGACCAAGGGAACGCAGCAGGGCGGCGGGCGCGGGGCATTTGCCGCCGACGAACCCAAGGGACGCGGCGGGGCCAAGGCTCAGGACGCGAAGGGGCACATGCAGCGGGCCGGGAGCGCCGACGGTGGCGAGGAGACGACCAAGGGTGGCGGGTCCGGAAGGGTAAGTGACCACCCGCTCTCTTGCAAATTTCGTTTCCAGATTCGTTTCGTTTCGTTTCCGTTTTCGTTTTCAATTAACTTTTACCACTCGCGTGTGCGTCGCAGGGGAGCGGCCGGCGTCAGCGATCAGTCAGCAACATGGAGCCCGTGGAGCGAAATGGATCACACAACGGAGACACCCACAGGTACCAGCCTCGCACCTGGCCCACGTCTCGTGTGTGTGTGTGTGTGTGTGTGTGCTTCTTCTCAGCTTCTGCTTCTCAGCAGTGAGTCGCCGGTGGGCAGCCCGACGTCGGAGATGGAAAGGCTGAGCCTCGACGGGAGCAGCCCCGAGTCGTTCATCCCGTCGCCTTCCGACACCTTCAACGCCGCCCTCTCCTCGCTCACGTCCACCTCGTCCTCTTCATTTTCCTCCTCCTTCGCGCTCTCGTCCTCGGCCGCCTCCGCCACGCGATCACCCAAGGGCCCCGCCCGACAGCCTAATTCCTCCTCCTCATCTTCTTCCTCTACTTCTTCGTCATCACACACCTCTTCATCATCTTCATCATCATCTTCATTTTCGTCGACAACATCGTCGGCTACCCTCGGGCTCTCGCCGGAAAGCAACGCGCGGAAGCGATCGCCCCGCTCCCCGCGCAAGCAGCTGCCCTCGTCCAAGCTCGGCGGCGGCGGCGGGGCGGGTGGGAATCTGAACGGGCCGTCGTCGCTGCCACTGTCCTCCATGTCGACCGCGGGCGCCTCGTCGTCATCACTCTCTGCTCGGTCCCGCCCTCCCGTATCCCCTCGCAACAAACAGCCACAAACACCACAGGTGCGTGTCGTGTCGTGCGTGTCGTGCCTTGTGTGTCGTGTGTTGTGTGCGTCGTGTGCGGATAGCTGACATGGTCGTGTGGGTCCAGAAGGGCAAGGCCAGAGAGAGGTCCCCGCCGCGCACCCGCGCAGTCATTCCGCCGCACCACCAGATGCACCCGTCGCCAAGTACTTAGCACCTCGCCCCTTCGTTGTTATTTATTTATATTTTCGTGCCATTTATTTTTATTCATTCATATATTTATTTATCGGTGGAATATGTGCGGGTGGTGCAGATCATTCGAACCAGGCCGCGGTGCAAAGCGAGGACGACGGTTGGGATTCGCGTGCCACGGAAGACCTCATGTTCGACGAGGGCTCGCCCTACGCCTCGTCACCCACAGGTACGGAGTAGCCCCAAAACCGCACACGCGTGCGCACGCACACACGCACACGCCTCTCACACCCTGTTTGCTTGCTTGACACAGGCATGAAGTCTCCGCCGGGCGCGGAGCTGGGCGGAGGCGCGGTGTCAAATGGGAGCAACAGCGAGCGGGCCGGGGTGGACATGCGCCAGTCGAATCCCATCAGCATCGCGGGAGGCGGCGGCAGCTACACCGGCGGCCGCGGCTTCTACGCCGCCCAGCCCTCGGACGCGTCGTGGAGCGAGTGGTCCACCCTCCAGGTACCGCCGCGCCCAACCCGTTTCGTTCCCGACCGACGCTCAGAAACGTGTGTCCTGCGTGTCGTTGGTCGTGTCGTGCGCAGGCGCCCAAGTTCTCGCTGGAGTCGTCGTACGGGGCGAAGCCGCCATTCCCGAGCGCGGTCGGGGCGGGGAGCTCGTTCTCGGACTCGGCGTCGAGCGCCATATTCGGGTTCAGCCCGTCGTCGATGCCCTCCCAGGGCTTCTTCTACTCCCAGCCCTTCCCGCCTCACCAGCAACAGGTACCCTTCCATTCCTCGTAATTACTTTAATTTGTTTTAATCCAAATAAATAAATAAATAATCAATAAAATTCATGTATAAATGCAGGGCCAGCCCTCCTTCCAGCCGTCCACCAGCAATCCGTCCGGCATGGACCCTAGATATCTAGGAGGACCGCCACCAATCGTGGGAACTCCCCTCATGGGTACGCTCCCCACCTCTCACTTCCTCCCCCCTTCCCTCTTCATTCTTCTCTTCTTGCTCGCGGTCGGCTGACCTCCTTTGTTTTCTTTCTCTCTCTCTCTCTCTCTCTTTTCGCAGGAATGGTGCATTCGTCGTTTGAGGTGGGCACGCCGGGAGCGGGGCGAGGAGGCCCCGACGACTGGGCGTCGTCCTCCCCTCGCCACCCTCACCACTACCAACAGCACCAGCACCAGCACCAGCAGGCCTACTCCTCCCCCTATACTGCTCGACATCCACCTCAACACCACCCTCACCACCCGCCCTCATCCTCTTCCTCTTCTTCGTCTGCGCCACCGCCGGTGGGCGGCATTCGACCACCGCCAGCCTCCTCCGCTGGGGAGGACTAGGCCTGACCAGCTTTTGCCCTCCCCCCCTCCCCTCATTCTCTAAGGTCAGCACCTTCTTCCCAGCCCACAGTCAATCCGTGATCTTCTCTACTTCCCAATCTGTCGTTCCCTCTTTTGGTGATGTCTCTCGTGAATTAAAGGGCGCCTTCACTTCCAATCCAGTTGAATGCGAAAGCTTCTTCTTGTTGTTGTATTGAACATCTTTCCGCTCTCGCGTACTGGCGAGTGTAAAGATGGTGAATAAATGGGAAGAGGAGGGCTAGATGAAGAGAATAGAAGAAGAAGAACCAGGGCGCCTGGCTTAGTTCTTCTTGGACCTCTTGTTGGGGACGGGGATGAGGGTGGGAACCAGCTGGACGCGGTTCCTCAAGTGCTTAGGCTCGCCCCTCCTACGACCGGACTGGTAATCGACGGTCATGTGGAGCGGCTCCTCTTCGCGCTCGACCTCGCAATCATAATCTTCGCACTCGACGAGGGTGTCGAACTTGGGTTGGCTGGCCCCTCTGCTGACGTGGTTGGTCTTGCGGAAGAAGAACTCGGGCTCATCGTCGTCGGCCTCGCAGCAGAAGGCGAGCGCATACTTGTTCTCGCGACCGTGCTTGAAGTCGTTGCGGGCGGAGAGGTTGGCGACGACCTCAGTCCAGTCGCAGTCCTCGGTGGGCAAGCTGATCGACACGTTGTCGGGAATGTCGCCGTTGAACATGTTGATGACGCGGGCCTCGCAGGAGGGCTCACATCCAGTGTAGGTCGTCTTGACCCAGTACGAGTAGGAATAGATCTGCTTGGCGCCGTAGACCATGTTACCGACGCACACCGTGGCGTTGGCCGACAGCCTGAAGCGGTACTCACCCTCGGGTCCGGCCGGCATGAAGGTGAAGATCGGGTCCTGGGGGAAACGGAAGGGGAGTTTGATACCGGAGCCGGACGAGGGAGCGACGGCCCCGAGGACCACCAGAACCACCGCCACGAGAGCCCACTTAGTGAAGTTCGCGCCGGCCACCATCTTCTCTGTCTGCCTCTTGCTCTTCTCGAACGAGTTGTGGTTGACTATTTGTTTTTTTTCCAGCTTGGTCTCTCTCCGCTACGAGCCTCTTCCCTTTTCCATCATCTGTATGTGAGGTTCGTCCTATCGTGGCGAAGAATTTGGGGAATGGCTGGTTTTAACCACACTTGTGGAATTTGGAGTATCGCATTGCTACGGTTACAGGGTAATGTGGGTCAAATTCCAAACATAGCAGGCCGAACAAATGGCGCGAAAGCGTTCGGGACTTTCGGCCGCGCTTCGATCTTTTTCAACATTTAAAAGTTTGATTTACTTTGCTTTGAATTGAAATTTGAATTGGTTTTTATTTGTTATTTATTTGCTCAAGGCGTCGCGAATGCCCTTGCCGTCCGGCCGGGCCAGGAGAGACGAGACGGGGGTGCGGAAGATCGAGCTCGGCAGGAATGACTTGCCGGGCGTGGGGCGCGGCGTGATGGCCAGCCCCTTCTGCTTCTGCTGTTGGTCTACACGCGCTCTCGGTCAGCCGGCACACAACACACGACACGACACACGCGCGACACACGATTGGGCTATGCGAACGTACAGGGCGTGGGAGGATGGAACTTCTGCGAGGGGTTGATGACGACATGGCCCAGGATCTTTTCAATTTCGGCCTCCTCGTCTTCGCTTTCGCTTTCGCTTCGCTCTCGCTCGCCTCGTCTTCTGCCGCCTTCTTGTTCTTCATTTGTGTCGGCGTAGCCGTCGTCTGCTTCATCGTCGGTACGGGCGTTGCCACCGTCTTCTGCTTCGACGTCGGTGTTGGCGTTGTCGCCATCTTCTGCTTCGCCGCCGGGGTCGCCTTCGCCGCAGGTGTGCCGGCCTTCGCGGTTCCGTTGTTGGCACTCGCCTTCGTGTCCGCCTGCTTCTTGGCCTCCGAGTCTTTCTTCTCGACGGCCTGCTTCTCCTTCTCCTTCTTCTCCTGCGATGATGGCGCCGGCGGCTTGCCGCCCACCTTGGGCGTGGGGAGCGTGAACCCTCCTCCTCCTCATCATCATCCTCCTCCTCTTCATCATCACTCTCTTCCTCCTCTTCATCCCCCTTCTCTTCACCGTCGTCGCTATCTTCCTCTTCTTCGGTGTCGTCTTCGACGAGCGGGGGAAGAGGCCTGGTATCCTGGCTGGCGCTCTGGGACTCCCCCTTGGCTGTCGTGATTGGCACCGCCGGCTGCTCGACTTCCATCGCGTCCTCCTCCTCGCTCTCGCTGTCGTCCGATTCCTCCTCCTCTCCCTCCTCTCCCGAGCCTTCGTCCTCGCTCTCCTCGAGCTCCATGGAGACAGTTTCGCTGTCGGCCTTCTCCTTCTCTTCTTTCTTGGTCGTCGCTCCCTTCGTCTCCTCTCCGCTCTCCTCCTCTTCGCTTTCCTCCTCCTCCTCCTCCTCCTCCTCCTCCTCCTCGCGCAACTGCGTCGCTTCGTCATCCTCTTCCTCTTCCTCCTCCTGCACCTTCTTCTTCTTCTCTTCCTCGATCTCCTTGGCCTTCTTCTCCTCCTCGGCCTTCTTCTTCTTCTTCTCCTCCTCGGCCTTCTTGGTCTTCTCGAGCTCGGCCGCCTTGGCCTTGGTCTTCTCCTCGCGCTCGGCCTTGGCCTTCTGCAGCTTGCGCTGGGCCTCTTCCTTGCGCTTGAGCTCGAGCTGCTCCTTGCCCTTCTGGATCCGCAGGGCCTCCTCCTTCTGCTTGCGCTCCCGCTCCCGCTTCTCGTGCTCCACCGCGCTCCTTCCGCTCGCGCTCGCGCTTCTGCTCCTCCACCTGCCGCCTAGTCTCCTCGCGCTCGCGCTCCTTCTCCTTCTGCTCCTGGCGCTCGCGCTCCTCCTTCTCCTTCTGCTCCCTTTCCTTCTTTTCCCTCTCTTCCTTTTCCTTCTTCTCCTTTTCCTGCCGCTCGCGCTCCTCCTCCTTCTGCTCGCCTCCTCCTTCTCCTTCTGCTCGCGGGCCTTACGCTCGCGCTCTTCGGTCTCCTTCTGCTCGCGGGCCTTGCGCTCGCGCTCCTCCTTCTCCTTTTGCTCCTTCTCCTTCTGCTCGCGGACCTTGCGCTCGCGCTCGGCCTTTTCCTTCTGCTCCTTCTCCTTGCGCTCCTTCAGCTCCCGGGCCTTGCGCTCGCGCTCCTCCTTCTGCTCGCGGGCCTTCTGTCGCTCGCGCTCCTCCTTCTCCTTCTGCTCCTTGGCCTTGCGTTCGCGTTCCTTCTTTTCCTTCAGCTCGCGCTCTTCTTTCTCCTTCAGCTCGCGGGCCTGGCGCTCGCGCTCGGCTTGAGCCTCCTTCTCCTTTGCTGCTCGTGCGGCTGCTGCGGCCGCCTCCTCGCGCTTGCGCTTCTCCTGTTCGCGTTCCTTCTCCTTCTCCGCCTCTCTGGCCTTGGCCTTGGCCTGGGCCTCCTTCTCCTTCTGCTCGCGGGCCTTCCATTCGCGTTCCTCCTTCTCCTTTTCCTTCTCCGCTTTCGCCTTCGCCTTTGCCTTCGCTTTCTCGTCGTCTTCGTTCTTCTTCTTCGTCGCCTCCGTCTCCGTCCGGTTCGACGAGTCCTGCCTGGTCGGGGTCCGCAGCGGGTCGTTGTCGTCCTGCTCGGCGCTGTCCTCGGCCATCCGGTCCGACGCGCGGCCGCCACCTTCGTCTTTGTCTTCGTTTCCGTTTTCGTGCTGCGCAGGGCGCGGCTGCTTGCGCGATCGGTCGGCCAGCACGGGGCTGGCCTCGGTCAGCTTGCGCTTGTGCGTCGTCGCGAGCTCCTTGCACAAGGCTGCCTCGAGCCGCCGCTCCTCGTTGGGATAGAATTCGTAGAGGCTCCTTCGCGGCTTCCGCGTCTTCGTCTCGTCCTCTTCCTCACCTTCCTCTTCTTCTACCTCCTCCTTCTCGTCATCTTCGTTCTCTTCTTCTTCACCATCCTCCTCGTCTTCGTTCTTTCTCCGCCTCTTGGCCCTCGAGTTTTCCTTTTCGCTCTCTTCGTCGCGGTCGCTGTCGCTGCCGCCGGCCATGCGCAGGCGCCGGGCGGGGCTCTTGGCGCTCCCCTTCTTCTCGGCGTCCATGAGGGCCTTGAGCCGGGCGACCAGCTCGGGCTTTACGCCAAAGAGGGGCGCCCCGCGCTTCCCCAGCTCGACACGCAGCTGAGCTACCCTCAATCGATTCAAGTCCACGCTCCCCTTGTGCCTCTTGCGCGGTGTGACCGCAGCACCGCCGGCGAGCTTGGCATCCTCCTCCTGTATAACATCGCGATCCAATTAATCTCGCAAGAATTGGCGTGTAGAGGCGATAATCTGGATGAAGATGAGAAACGTACAGGGTTGGGTTGTGATCCTTGTTGATAGGAGCTCGAACGACTCCGCTTGCGCTTGCCCAGCTTGGCTCGTACGAGTTCAGGCGACATCTCGCCATTTTGAACCGAGATTAATTCGTCTACGCTCATCGCGCCGAAGCACTCTTGCTCGGGAGTCACAAGTTCGATCTCGGCGCCATCCTGGAGTACATCTCGGATGCGCCAATCAAGATCGATATCGCATCCGGACCCGTCGCGGAGGCGGAAGACCTCGATTGGTGGCAGATACTTGTAGAGTCGCGCAAATTGGGCCTTGGCTCTTGCCGCGAGCTCGTTAAGAGTCAGGTTGCCTTCTTCGAGCATCAGGAAACGCTTCTCGCCGGCCGCGCTCTGGCATTTGACCCTTATCTTCAACTTGGGCACCAGCGGCTCCGGAGCCTCCATCTTGCGTTCGAGATCAAACAACAAAAAAGGAAAAAGAAAAGAAGTGAAAAGAAATGGGGCATCAATTCCAGGAATGCAGCAAAACAGTGTTGGAGATGGAGATGACGCAGAGGCCAGGGTTGCTGATTCTCTATGGCTCGGAGACGGGCACGGCCGAGGACGTGGCGGAGTTGATTGGGCGTGAGGCCAAGCGACGTCTCTTCCACACTCGCGTCATGGCCATGGACACCTATGCCCGGGTGCGCTGCCGGTCAAAAGAATGCAAACATCATCATCTTCAGCTTTGCATTCTGACGTGCCTGTGTGCACTCATTTTTTCTTTTCAATAGGCGAAGGAAGGGTTCCTTCTGCCGCAGGAGACGCTGGTCGTGTTTGTAGTCTCCACCACCGGCCAGGGCGACCCGCCCGAGAACATGAAGGTGCTGCAGCCCGGCCAAAGCGCTACTTGAACCCCCCCCCAAGACTAGAGCACGAGCCTCACACTACCCACCATCTGCTCGGAACCAAAACGCAGACATGCTGGCGGTTCCTGCTTCGGCGGGAGCTGCCGCCGACGTCGCTGCAGAAGCTGCGTTTTGCCGTGCTGGGCCTGGGCGACTCGTCCTACGAGAAGTTCAACTTCATGGGCAAGAAGCTCTACCGGCGGCTGCTCCAGCTCGGTGGCCAGCCCATTCACCGTAGGGGCGATGCCGACGACCAGCACCGACTCGGGTAAATTTTCATCTTCGTGCACTGCGTCGTGTGGTGTGTGCGTGCGTGCGTGCGTCGTTTGTTTGCTTGTCCTGACCGTGCCGTGCATGCAGGTTGTTTGGCGAGCTCGACCCGTGGCTGAAAGAGCTGTGGGACAAGCTGCTTGCGCTCTACCCGCTCCCGCCGGGCGCCGAGATCCTGCCCGAAGGCCAACTGTACGGAACACGCGCGCTGTGTTGTGATCTCTGTGACCACTCAGCTTCGATCTTACATCCTCCCATTCCAACCACCGAACAAAACAGTGCGCCGCCCAAGTACACCATCAGTTTTGGGGACACAAGCGCTGCCCCAACCAGCAACGCCCGACGGTACCGAAGCACCGCACGCCACACGCTTGGGCGCACACGTGTGTCGTTGTGTGGTGTGTGGTGTGTGAAACTGACATGTGAGGGCAAACACACATCAGACCACAAGCTCCGCCGTACAACCAACAAAACCCGTTCGAGGCCACACTACTGGCAAACCGACGCCTGACCGCCTCCGACTGGGAGCAGGACGTGCGGCACATCGAACTCGACATCTCCGAATCGGGCATGGCGTACGCTTGGCGCTTTCGCTCGAGCTGATGGCCGACTACTCACTTCCGCTTCGTCGTCGTTGTATCGGTGGGATGTGATGCAGTTATGAGCCGGGCGACATTCTCTGCGTGCTTCCCGCCAACCTGCCCGACGCCGTCGATGAGTTCCTCGCCGCAGCTCAGCTCGACGGCAACCGTGTGATCGCCCGCATCACACCCAACCGCGCTGGTACGCCGCCATGCCAAGACCTCCTGGCTTCGCTTCGCTGCTCATTTCGGGCCGATGGCGCGTCGACATGTATGTCGTGCCGTGACCACCACCGCCAGACGTGGAGCCGCCTGCGGTTGACTTGCCCTGCACGCTGCGCGAGTTGGTGACCAGGCACCTGGACGTCAACGCCTATCCCCGGCGCTATTTCTTCGAGGTCCTCTCCTTCTTCGCCGATGACGCACTGCACCAGTCCAAGCTCCGCGAGCTGTCCTCGGCCGAGGGCCAGGTGCGCGTTCCCTCGCGTTTTCCTGGTGAACGCTGCCTCCTGAATACTGAAGTACGCGCACCACACACACACCACACCGCACACGCACGCGCAGGATGAGTTGATTGACTACTGCGTGCGGCCCAAGCGAACGGCGGCCGAAGTGCTGGCCGACTTTTTCTCCGTCCGCTTCCCTGTGGAGTACCTGCTCGACATCATACCCAGCATCAAGGCCCGCCAGTTCTCCATCTCCTCTTCGCTCAAGGTACGTGCAACGAAATGGTTGATGTCGTGCGCGGTGGTGGCTGTGTGGCTGTGTGCAATAACTCGACCCACATCTTAATTGTGGACCAGGTCCACACGGGTCGAGTCCATTTATCGGTGGCGGTCGTCAACTACCGCACCAAGCTCAAGAAGACCAGGCGCGGTCTCTGCACGGCCTATCTCGCCAGCCTGGCGCCCACACCCGAGGTTCTCTCGCACACGGCACACACACACACACACGCACACGCACACACACGCACACACACGACACACACGCGACTACACGCGCGCATCTCGTGCGTGTATGTGTTGTTAACGGAAGTTGAGCTGACACGTTGGCGTTGCGTCTCGGCTTAGACTACGGTGCGCGTGTGGGTGAAGAAGGGCGATGTGCGTCCGCCGCGCGACCCCAGCAAGCCGGTGATCATGGTCGGCCCGGTACCGGGTTGGCCCTTTTCAAGGCGTTCCTGGAGGAGCGATCGCACCTGGCCAAGCACGGTACCATGACACCACCTGACCGTCGCCTTTCAATTCGCCTCACAGTGCTGCGTTGTGCGTTGCGTGTCGTGCGGCGTGTGCGGTGTGTGTTGTGGGCAGGAGTGGCCGTGGGCGAGAACACGTTCTACTTTGGGTGCCGGCACGAGAAGAAGGACTACCTCTACGGTGACCTGTGGCAGGATATGGTGGCGCAAGGCCACCTCCACCATCTGCACACCGCCTTCTCGCGCGACCAGGTGCGCACCCCTCCGACTGTGGCCACCGTCGCCCGTTCGCTCCTCACACCCAACTCCCGACACACACTGAGTGCAGGAAAGCAAGGTCTACGTTCAGCACCGACTGCTGGAGAACGCAGAGCACACGTGGAACGCGCTCGTCAACCAGCACGCGCACTTCTACGTGTCGGGGTACCTACCAGCCACCACCGACAACAGATCACCACCACCACCATCACCACCATCATCATTGCGTTGGTGTCGATACCAAACTGTCTGTCCGTTGGTGGCGTGCAGGTCGGCCAAACAGATGCCCAAGGACATCAAGGCGGCGCTCAAGGAGATCTGCAAGACGCAGGGCAACAAGACGGAGGAGGAGGCCGAGGAGTTCTTCCAGCAGCTGCGACGAGAGAAGCGATACCTCGAAGACACCTGGGACTAGTCGCCGACGATGAGATCAAGGCTCTGAGTTGGCCACGCTTACGCCTGTCATCTACGCGTCATCTCCGTAAATTAATAATGCAATAAGAATTGAAAAGAAAGAAAAAGTCAAACCTTGGGCAGAGCCCCGCAAACTTACCCGGTACCCAGAAGAAGATCATGACCACGACCATTGAAAAGCGCACCATCACCATCTCCCTCGACCCCCAGGTAACCAACCAACCAACCAACACTATCCACCTCCACTCGCGAGCTTTGGTTTTCGAGCGTTGCAACGTGAGGTCCGACCGGCACCTTCTTCTTTTCCTCGGGCCTAGGACGTACCCTTCGAGGCCTACCCCACCAATGGCAAAGAGGCCTGGGAACGGTTTGTCCCCCCCCTTTCCGGTACTGTGGTTGGCTGCGACTGGTCTTCTGGCCCCAAGCCAGATTGCGAAGTGGTGACCACTAGTTGGGGGCGGCGGCGCACAGGTTGCGGATCGGCAACGAGCGGTTCGCGCAGGGGGACCTGGTGGGCTTCCTGGGCAACCTGGCGGCGGAGATGAACCCGGAGGCCCGCATGAGCCTCACAGCCTCGCAGGTTCGGTTTTCGGTTTCTTTCTTTCTTTTCTTTTCTTCTCTTTGTTTCACTCAAGGCTGAGGGGAATGCAGAATCCCTACGCGGTGGTGGTGACGTGCGCGGACTCGCGGGTGGCCCCGGAGCTCATCTTTGACGAGGGCATGGGCTTCCTGTTCGTCATCAGGTCAAAATCATCACCGCACACGCACACTCTGACGCACTGCACCCGCACCCGCACACTCTGACGCACCACACGCACATGCACACGCACCTGCGCACCGCACCACCGCACACGACACACGACATACGACACACGCACCTCTCCACACGCCCGCTGGCACCGCGAGGGGGGAACTAATCTGGGTCGGTTCGTGCAGGGTGGCGGGCAATGTGATGGACAAAACGGCGCTGGGGAGCATCGACTACGCCGTGGCGCACCTCAAGCCCTGTCTCCTCCTCATCATGGGACACCAGTCCTGTGGTGCCGTCAAAGCTGGTACTCACCTGCCACACGCAACACACGATACACACGGCACACTCATGGCATGCAAGGCTCGCACACAATGCACCCTACACACGACACACACGAGTATGTGCAATGCAATGGATTTGAATTGAATGGCGGCGTGCAGCGTTGGACTGCCACGGCTCGGAGAGCGCGCAGGACAACATCGGGAGCATCGTCGCCAAGGTGCTGCCCTCCGTCGATCGTGCCAAGCGCTGCTGTACGCACGACACGGACCCCGCCCAGGTCCGTACACCTCCTTCTCCCACAGCCGACCAGCGCCAGCGCGACCGCCACCTTAACGTGTTCGCTTGTGTGGCGTACCATCTGATCAGCTGCTGGATCGGGCGGTGCAGGAGAACGTGTTCGCGTCGGCGCGGGAGATCGTGGAGGGCAGCCGGGTGGTCGAGGACCACCTGCTCGACGGCAGCCTCACGATCATGACGGCCGAGTACTACCTCGACTCGGGGCTCGTTGTGGAGGTCAAGGGTCAGCCGCCCCCGCCCGAGCACCGTCACCACCACCTCCGCGAGCACCTCCAATTCTACTAAAAGCGTGTGAGTGCCGTGCCACTACAAACGACCCACTACATTTTTTTATTGAAGTTTGTTCCATTGCCCTTCTGCACACTGCCTGGCTGTGGTCCATGTCGAAACATTAAGCGATATGTTGAATTGGTGCGCGATGTCGGCCGTGCGGGTGAGGATCTTCTTCAGCGTTGCCTTTTTGAGCTGGTCCATCTGCTGGAGTCCCCGGAACACGCTCACTTGACTGGCCGCCCACCTGACGTGCAGTTCGAGCAGCCGGTCAAGTCCGTACTGTTGAGCGGTGAGCAGCAGCTCCCATGAGCGGGGCTGCCGGGTCAAGTGGCACTCACAATCCTCCTTGAGCTTCGGGGGCAGCTGGTACTTGTCCGCGAAGTGGAGGAGCGCCAGCGCGTTGTCATCATCGACGACCACACGACAAAAGGGGTAGAAGTAGGAGAGCATCTGGCCGAAGGCGTGAGAGTGGTTGGAATCCTCCTCCACGATCTGGACGGTGGCCGAGCTGGTCTCCCGCATGCCGTTGGTCAGCATCGCCTCAAACACTGGCGAGGAGAGCTTGAGCAGGAAGCGGTGAACGTGGAAGTTGGTCTGATTGTTGAGCCGGATCGTCAGGTCGCCGTGCGCCGGGTCTTTGAGTTGCTCTGCGTAGGGCAGCTGCTTCATGGTCTACTACGTCTGTTGGCTGTGGGGAGAGGAGGTTATGTGTTGTGTTGAAACTATCTACACTCACAACGTTTCTACCACCCAATGATTTCTAGTACACCTACCTTTTATGTATGACAACAGACCTTAAGTAAACAAATGAAGTCCCTTTGTGTGACTTCTTCTTTCCTCCTCAACTGTGTGACACATCACAGTGTCCACCTTGAGCTGACCAGCATGGCAAGACCAGCTAGCTTTGGGGCAGCTGGTACTTGTTGCTGAAGTGAAGGAGCTCCATTACGTTGTCCCTGTCTATGAACATGTGGTAATAGGGTAGAGGTACTACAGTATCTGCCCAAGACACTAGCCTGGTCGTAGTCGCACTCCACAACATCACTGGTATGTAATTGTTATTTGTTTGCTCTCATGAAGACGAATCAGCCTGATGGAAGGGCTTCAGCCCCTCTGAAGAAGGATCTTCTTAAGAGTGCTCTTCTTGAGCTGGTCCAGTCGCTGCGGCTCCTTTCGGAACAGGCCCGTGGTTCTGAACGCAGCCCACTCGACGTGCTGGTCGAGAAGCCGGTGGAGTCCGTACTGCTGGGCCATGAGCAGCAGGTCCCATGATTGGCGCTGAGTGATCAAGTAGAGCTCGCACTCCTGCTTGAGCTTGGGGGCCAGCTGGTACTTGTCGCTGAAGAAGAGGAGCGATGCGACGTTGTTATCGGTGATGTCGATGTGGGAGTAGGGGTAGAGGAAGGAGAGCAGCTGGCCGAAGGCGGGAGCGTGGTCAGGCTCCTCCGTGATGTCGATCGTCAACGAGCCGGTCTCGCGCATGCCGTTGGTCAGCATCGCGGCGAACACCGGCGATGAGGCCTTGAGCAGGAAGCGGTGCACGTAGAAGCAGGAGTCGCCATTAAGCCGGAGCTGGACGTCGCCGTGCGCCGGGTCGTCAAGTTCCTTCGCATACGGGAGCTGCTGCTTCATGGTCCACCTCGTAATGGGCACAAGTGTGAGACTGACTAGAAAGCTGAAGAGAGCTGAGGGTCATGTTGTTCGCCCACAAGAGAATTCGACGACGCTCCACGACCTTGCCGGCGGGCAATACCGAGAGCGGGCTGGGATGCTGCCATACAGGGCTCAATATTTCGACCGAAATCTTGTTGTTTTTAAATCGATCTCATTGGTGCAACTAGTGCAGGTAGCAGAGGAAGAAGAAGAGGGTACAGATGGAGGAGAAGATGGCGGTGCAGAGCATGGCGAAGAGGAGCTTGGTCTTGGTGGTTTTGAAGGGAGACCGCGGTGTGTGCCTGCCCGCCCAGCGCTTGAAGCCCCAGTACAGGCCCATCATCGCCCCGGCGACCACCACCAGAGTGGCCATCAACGGAACGATTACTGTCACCAGCACAGCCACCAGGTACAGCAATCCCATCAGTACTACCATCGGCCCGGCGACCACCAGCTTGGCTATCAACGGGATG